TTCTGAGCATGAAATATGTTGGCTTGGCTTACTGAAATCCAAATGGAGGGGCTCAAATGCAATAAAGTCTTCAACAGCTGTGCTTAATGGCAAAAACAAATAAATAACAATTTTGAGTACCTGTCCACTGTAGTGACCATTATGCATCAAAGGGTTAATCCATACCACCACATTTATGAATTGTTTAAGCAAGGTAAAGACAAACTGTACATCTAGCTTAAAAAAGCTTAAAGACAGTAAACTTATAGAAGAAAGAGCAGAAATTAATTTCAATGTGTTTGATAATATGTGGACCCAAAACCCAAAAGAAAAGCTTTCTGCTGACCTGCATTAAGATTAAGCAACAAGGTGAGAACAAAGTAATTTAAATGAAAATTTAAGGCTTATATTACTGAATAATATTAATAAAAACAATTATATCATTTTCTTAACAAACTGAAAATTTTAAGTTTTACATGGAAATTTTAACTGGATTAATAGGAACAACTATGTGAGAAGCTGTTTTTAAACAAAATGAATGTATATAATGATTCAAAATGAGTAAACACATAATCAGCATTCAGTTGTTTTATTTAAGTGAAGTAAATCTTCATGGATATGAAAAAGGTTTGACTCTGTTGTCATCCCTTGGCTCGGTAATCTGATGTTGAAAGATCAATATGACCAAACTTTGCCCTTCCCCTTTAAGCTACTTTATCAGGTGTCAGATGGCAGCAATAAGACTAATGGGAAAATGTAGCTTCTGATCAGGTGTGCCTGTGAGTGACAGTGGGATGGTGCAAACAAATGTAGGAAGGAATTTAATCTATTTAAAAAAAACGATACATGATAAAGGAAATTATTATGTCATGCATGCTCAACAAGATAATTAAATATGATAGTAAGGAGTTTAAAATAAAATAGTAGTTAAAACAGAACAACAAAATTATTTTAATCAAGTAACAAGTAACTAGGCTGCATGTGAAGGAGGGACATGACAAACATTCAGTAACGTACAGATGAGCGTGGCCAACACCTACAGAACGAGGAAGAGTCCGATCGCCATGGGGGAAAGGATTTCCTGTGGCGTTCCGTTCCGCATTTGCAGAAAAACAAACACAAAAACCTAAATTTTTTATGGAAACCGAAAGAAATTTCAGGATTTTCAACTCCTCACTAGAGGCTTCTTACTGTATGTGCCTGCCTGCTTCAATTGAACTGAATTTAAATTGAATTTATTTATTGTCATCATGCAAAAAGAAAGCACAACGAGATTACTTGGGCCTCATCTGACACAGTGCCACAAACAACGTATGTAAAAGCCAGATAATCAAAAGCAACTTTACTAAAAAGAACTCTAAAATGAGCAATAAATATTAATAATGTAATTGGCTAAAAAACATCCACCGTAAATATCCCTAAAAACATTGTCATTCAGTGGAGGGGGGAGTAACAAACTCCTTCTCTTAAAAGAAAATAATGAAGGAGGCTCACCCTGTGAAAACAGTCCTTTAACTGATCAAGAGCTCGCTCTGGCCAGATCTTAATAACTCTGGTCAAAGTCTTGGTTCTCCTGCCACAAGGAATGTAGGCAGGGGCTAGGAGCAGTGAAAGGTGGTCCGACTTGTCCAGATGGGGCAGGGAAACAGTCTTATAGGCCTGTTTCAGATTGGAATACACATCATCCAGTGTATTTAGACCCCTGGTGGAACAATGCACATACTGCACAAAAGTGGGGAGCACTGTTTTCAGACAGGCTTTGTTAAAGTCACCAGCCACAATAAAAGCACCTTCAGGGTAGGGATTCATCTGTTTGGAGATAACATCATGCAATGTTGACAGGGTTGAGGTCATATTAGCACCTAGAGGAATGTAAACTGCTGTTAAAACTACCACCGTTAGTTCTCTGGGTAGATAAAATGGTCTGCACATGACAGAAATAATCTCCAGGTCTGGGCAGCAATGGGTGTAGGAAACTTTGGTGTGTGAGCACCAGAGGTTGTTTGTGTAAATGCAGACACCGCTCTCTCTTCTCTTTCCCGATTCACCACTCCTGTCGAGTCGATGGAGACTACGACCCGGAAGCTGAACCGTAACATCAGTAACAAGTGGATGTAACCAAGATTCCACTATAATGATAGCACAGCAGTCCTGAATCGTGTTGTTTTTAGCCAATAGAGCCTGTAGTTCATCCATCTTTTTGACGATGGATCTGGCATTTGTCATGAAGATGCTTGGGACCGTAGGAGTGTGTGGCCGCTGCGCTAACCTCACCAGCTGTCCCGCTTGACACCCACGCTTCTGTCTGCAGAACCTCCGTCGGCGCTGCCTCTTTTCCCTCCCGACAGCAAGCCACTGAGAGCCCGGAATTCTGGCAATGTCCTTAGGTTTGTTGTGCAATCTCTGAAACTCGCTCGAAATCTCTATTTTACTTGCGATCCCGATGTCCCTGAGTTCCGTTGGGGCATTGAAAAAGCTGTTCCTGTGCTGGCAATCACACCAGCTCACAAACAAACATACAAAAAAAATAAATAAATAACGAAAAAGACAGAAAAGCAGCACCGTGACAGAGAGCCAATAGCTGCTGCGTCCGTACATGCCGCCATTCTGGTCAGGATGACACCTATCCTCCACCATAGTCCTTGTCCCCAAGAAGCCAAGAATCAATGGACTCAGTAACTACAGACCTGTGGCACCATACCATACCATACCATACCATACCATACCATACCATTTATTTATAGAGATCATTTAAAAAAGCATGTCAGCTGAACAAAGTGCTTGAACACAGAAAGAAGGCAAACGTAAAAGAGACAAAACAGCAGTAATCCTATTAAAATGAGCTTTCACAATAAAAGAGTATACACCAGGCTGATAAAACATAAAATCAAGAATACAAACCAAATAGCTAAATCATAAACATTTGGTCAAACAGTTAAAGAAAATAAATACAATTCGAGGACAAAGTCTGCTAATTAAAATGTTATGGTCCAAAAGCCTTTCTGAAGAGGAGTGACTTAAGGCTGAATTTAAAATGTGCTAGTGATGGAGCCAGATGTACTGAGAGTAAAAGTGCATTTCAAAGCTTAGGAGCAGCAAAAGCAAAAGCCTGCTCTCCAAGGCATTTGTATTTCATTTTGGGAATGCACATAAGGTTTGAGCACCTGGTTATTCCCCACCTCAAGACCCTCACAGACCCCTTCCTGCACCCCCTGACTCCCCAGGTACCTACACCAGGTTCATGTTCATGGGTTTCAGATATGCCTTCAACACAATCCTCCCAGACAAACTGTCCAGATGAACATGCCTGACCCCATCTGCAGGTGGATCACTGACTTCCTGATGGACAGAAAGCAGCAAGTGAGGCTGGAGAAGAATGTCTCGGAGCTGCGGACCATCAGTACCGGTTCCTCTCAGGGCTGTGTTCTCTCCCCTCTGGTCTTCTCCCTGTACACCAACGTCTGCACCTCCAACCACAAGTCTGTCAAGCTTATCAAGTTTGCAGACAACATGTGTGTGTGCGTGTGCGTGCGTGTGCGTGTGTGTGTGTGTGTGTGTGTGCGTGTGTGTCTGCTCTGTCTTCTCGATCCCCAGTGAGTCGTGGAGGATGGCTGCTTATACTGAACAGGTTTCCTGTTAAAAGGGAGTTTTCCTCTCCACTGTCGCTTTATGCTTGCTTAGTATGAGGATTGCTGTATAGTCACTGACACTAGTCAGTGACTTGATGCAATTTGCTGGGTTCCTTATATAGGAAACATTATTTCTGATTGGCTTAATGAACTGACCTGAATTGGAATGTTTATTATGTGAAGTGCCTTGAGACGGCTCTTGTCGTGATTTGGGGCTATATAAATAAACTTGAATTGAATTGAACTACCATCATCAGACTCAACTCTGATGGGGATGAGTCTGCCTACAGAATGGAGGTGGAACGGCTGGTGTCCTGGTGCAGCCACAACAACCTGATGCTTAACACACAGAAGACAGCGGAGGTTGTTGTGACTTTAGGAAGCACACAGCCCCTTTCCCCATAACCTTGTCTGACACTCCCATCACGATGGTGGACTCATGTTGCTTCCTGGGCACCACCATCACCCAGAACCTCAGATGGGAGCCCATCATCGCCTCCGTCATAAAAAAGGCCCAGCAGAGAATGTACTTCCTGAGGCAGCTGAAGAAATTCAACCTATCAGCACAGTCGATGAGGCAATTCTACACTGCAGTCATAGAGTTCACCCTCACCTCTTCAATCACCGTGTGGTACACTGGAGCTACCACCAGGGACATGAAAAAGCTGCAGCGGGTTGTACGCTCTGCTGAGAAGGTCATTGGCTGCAAACTCCCCTCCATACAGGACCTTTACACCTCCAGGATATTTAGGCATGCAGGTTGGACCACAGCTGACCCGTGTCACCCTAGACAGTCTTTTTGACTCGCTCTCATCTGGTAGGAGGCTCAGATCCATTCAGACCAGAGCCTTTCACCACAAAAACAGTTTATTTCCCTCTGCAGTTGGACTCATGAATAACAATCCTAGGGCTGCCCACTCCAGTCGCTCAGTTTCAGTCACATGACCCGGTGTTGCACCTGAACCGATCAGGTCTGATTAGTACCTACACAGTAGCTGTTTCTCTAATTATTGCCACTTTCTATTATTATATTTATCATGATTTTACTCTTACTTCCTGTAATTGCTTATCTTTCCTTTTTATTTTTCTATATGCACCAAATACAGCAGCAATTTCCTAATGTGATTTCTCACACATATGGCTATGAAACTTTCTGATTCTGAAATTAGACATTATTTGTACATTTTTCATTGACTGAATCTTAACAACGTGTATCTCTCAGTTCCTATAATTAAAAAGCACAATTTTCCAATTTCTTATCAATTTATGTAAATTGTCACTATCTAAATCCCTAGTGCAAAAAGTAAAATATATATAACATTTTGGTGGTTTGGATTTACATCATGATTGATGTCATTTTTAAAAGTGATACTTGATTAATACTGACTAATTAATTTTTAATAATGTGATTAGAAGTAATGAAAAGTTTATTTTATATTAATTCACTCATTTTGTTTGAGTAATCTGTAGAACATGGGTTGACAAATTCCTTCCCCGAGGGCCGGTATCCAGCATGTTTTTAGTGTTTTCCCTGCTTCAACACACCTGATTTTAATCAGCAAGTGATTAACAGCTTCTGCTGAGCATGATGAGATGTTGAACAGGTGAATCAACTGTATTGAAGCAGTGAAACAACCAAAACGTGTCAGATACCAGCCCTCTGAGAAGTGAGTTGCCAACTGCTGTAGAAAGTGTTAAGACTACTTGTGGCAAATTATACAGAATTTTAAATTAATATCTAAAGAAATATGTTTACATGCTTGAAAGCTTAGGAATTCAGTTTACAAGTCATCTCTTTATTTTCCGCCCCACACCTCTCAGTTTCTATAAATCATGCCCATCGTTGTGTACTGATAGATTAATGTCATTATGCTCTCTTTACGCTAATTTAATCTCACTGCCTCAATCTTTGGGAGAACAAATTTAAGTAGAGTAGTGAGGACATATGTATTTTTATGTGTGTGTGTGCGGCAGCAGGTAAAAGCGAGATGCCCCAGCCCGTAAAGCGATCCTGACACCATGAATAATAGAGAATGTTGTAGCAGAGAAGATAAGTTCCCTCTGCAAGGCTCCTTTTTCACAGGGCTTTCTCCTGTGGATCACGTGACCACAGAGGTGACAGTAATTTTTCATGAGATGTGTTTGTGGCTTGTATGTTCATACATCACCTAGGTAGCGAACCATCAGGTGGTGATTCCCTGAGAGTGTCCTGACTCGGGATATCTCCAACTGTGCATTCCCAGGCTCCTCCTGGATCCCCAGACTCTACCTGAAGCCAAGGGTCAAATGAATTGTCTTACACCATTAGAAACTCAAGGCAACACTTACGAAACTAAAAGCCAGGGGAAGGAATGAATAAAAGATGCCGTCGAAACAGAAAAAATCCACAACTTCGGAGGAAACCGAGGAGGTTGATGACGAAGTGGAGGAAAGCGAGCCAGATTTAAAGGAGAGGGGCAACGATTTGACCCATGGGGACACCACGACAAGAAAAAAGAGTTGGAGGAAACATAAGAGCGACGAGCACTCAGAGATTCAGAAGAAGGAAAAAGAGGGTGACAAGGTGAAAGAAAAAAAGAGGAAAAAGAAACCAGATGATGGTGCTGAAGCTGATGCTGTGGTTTCAAGCAAGGATGCTGAGAGCGAGCAGAACAATAATGAGGCTACGACCAGGCGCAAAAAGGAGAAATCTGAGTGGCTTAAAGAGGAAGTGACAGAGAACGCCAAGGAGGACAAGAAAAAGCAGAGGAAGAAGTCGTCTTCAGAAAATCTAGAAGTAGGGGAGATGGGGTCCAAGGAGAAGAAGTCTAAAGACGGTAAGAAGAAGAAGAAAAAGTCTCACAGTGATGATGCAGAGGACTCCTTAGTAGAGGAGCAAGAAGAAGAGGAGGAAGACTCAAGGAAAAAGAAAAAGAAGAAGGCAAAAAGAGGCTCAGCAGGCAGCGATGAAGACAAGAAGAAAAAAGGGAGAAAATCCAAAAGTAAACAGGTGGACTACGCTGCGATCTACCAAACCGAGTTGCTTAACTACCACACAGACTCCTCTGATGGGTATGAAGATGAGTATTATAAAAAAAAAGGTAAGGGACGGAGGTGTTGAAGGGTAAAAGTTTTCAGTCAGACTGCAAGTTTCTCCTTTTGGCCCTGAGTGGGAACAACACGGGGAATCCCTCTGTGATTGTTCTGGATGAGAGCTCAGTTATGTTCCACATGAATGGAGTCAAACAGAGGCCCCAGGGAACACGGGTGCTGGGTGCCGTCCCAGTAGCAGACTGGGAGCACCACAGGGCCACTGGCAGGAGAATCGAGAGTCAGAAGGTTATCAGATCACACCTTCACAAAGAAAAAAAAGTACATTTTATTATGTCTTTTTGTTAGAACATGTCATGTAAATATACGCTGAAGTTAATCCTTTTCATGTTGGATAAAAAAACTTCTGAAAGCATGAAATATTTTATGCAAAATGCTGAAGTTTTTATTCAACTCTATATCTTTCCTTTGTTTATGTTAAACAGAAAATAATGATTTTTCCCCAAGTGCCTCTTGCTTGAATTACTTAGAATGCCCAAAACGGCATTGCCATTATTTAGCCTGCAGAGAATTAAACTCAGTTTAAAAAAATACTTTGTTAACTGAAACCTTGTATTAAACTCAACTTAAACAACCCTCCATTTCCTTCATCAGAACAGCTGTAGCATTTCGAAGACATGTTTTACCTGTCATTAGCTTTTAGCTCAGTGTCGTTTAGGTTATCCTTGAAATCCAAAGCAGTAATAAAAGTCTCTTTTTTTTCTTTTTTTACTGGCTCAGCCAACTCCCCGATACCCTGAGGAGCCTAACAAGGCTCAGTTTTACTGGTCCACTCACTTTCTGATTTTATCAGGTGTTTCTCTTTCTCGTTAATCTGGTTTTAGTAGCTCAGCTTTCTGTTAATAGGGTCTCTGTGTTCTGTTTGGACTGACCCCTGCCTTTTCTTTCACAATGTTTCTCAGACAATAAACATATACTTTATTTTCATTATCATTTGGGAATAAATCAAAATTATTTCCAAAACTGTACATTTATAATGTAGACTTTTTAATATTTTCTATTGTGTACATCCTTCAGAAAAAAGCCTTTTCAAACAATCACCTTTCTGCTTTGACTTGGTTTACTATGGAAGCCCATATCTGCCACACTGATATGTTTGTATCTCATAACTGAAATCTTTTTAAAAAATCAGATTGGTGGAAACAGGCTTCCACAGTAATGTTTATACTGTTAAGACATTCAGTAAACATCCAGTACTGACCACTCTCTCCCAACGAAAATTTAATGTTGTTAGTGTAACTTTAACAATGGATGCTCCTTGGTGTAATTGAATAAAGACAACCATAAAGACATTCTAATGGAATCATTATCATTTAAAAAGATAAATGGAAAATAGAGGAACATATCTCTTGTGGTACATGAGGCGTGTTTCCACTATGGGAACTTCAGGGTAATTTATCGGAAAATTTCCGGCATAATTGTGTCTCCACTTCACCGGGCCAGCCGAAAAGGCCATTTACTGGGACCTTTTTCAGGAACCAACAAAATACCCGAACAGGGGTAGGTACTCAGAAAAGCTGAGTAGAGTAGCTGGGCAGAACTTTTTTGTTAACACATGCTGATTGGTTGTAACGCAGTAGGAAGTTACCAGCCTAGTGAACTAGACCAAATTCATGCTTTGCAAAGTTTGGTCTAGGCACGCTCCATTGGAACCTCCACAGCTCCTACCAGGACTCTGGCTGGCCAATCACAGCTCTCTACAGGGGTTTCAAACACATAAAGAGCTGTGATTGGTCCATAATGGTGGGCCAGTCATAGTGCTCTATCTGCTTAGTGAACAAATCACAGAGCTTTATCTGCTTTGTGGGCCAATCAGGGCACTCTATATGCCTGGTGGGTGGGATGATGCAACAGAGTGAAACAAGATATGTCACATTAATTGTCCAGTGGAATGCAGAAATCATTTGAAAGACAACGGTAGAACCCGCCCCACAACCGAGAGCCGTTAATGGAGCGTGGCCAGACTAGGAAGTTACATCAGCAGACGTCATCCCAAAACAACCGGCATTAGTAAAATTAGAATAGTTGCTTGTGAAGCAGGATTGGAAGCACAAGGAATGTTCACGCTGCTTTGAAATCGTCATTATCAAACTCCCAACATCGATAAACGAAGCGGAAATTCCTCCACAGCACAATTCACGGATCTTTGGTATTCTCACAGAGCACCGTAAAAAACTTCTTTTGGTCACTGAACACCACGTAGTACATCGCACAGCAGCTCTCCCGGTCCTTTGAAAGAATTAAATTGCTGTACTTCGACAATAAAACCTTTAAAGTTACTCTGGATACTCTTTGTCGCTCACTTTTTATTCTGATGTGCAAAGTCTTGAAAAGGCTTAATTTGTATGGTACATGGTGTTAGGTTTTTCATTTTCCCATCCAGGGTTACCTGAAGGGAAAGTTCACCACGCAGAGGTTTTATTATCAAGCTGATCAATTTAACCCATTTTAATCTTATTAACAAAAAACCATTTAGATTTTCCAAAGTGGAGAGAGAGAGATAAAATGATACACACAAGTCGGTGGTCTCTTTACTCTCTCGTCGGACCAAAGTCCTCCCAAGAGTATTTATTAAAAGACACAGAAATGAAAAAATGCACACACATTTAGGGAGACAAGCATGCGCTGGCACAGGGCGTTCTAACTGATAAGCTAGGACTGGGAAGAGGCAAGGTCAAACGACTGTCTGTTGCCAGGGAAGAATAAGCTGGATGAGTTTCATTTAAAACAATGTATCCATAATTTATCCAACACATGGCCTGTATTTGTATAGTGCCTTCTTGGGATTCTACAACCCCCCCCCCCCCCCCCCCCCCCAAGGTGCTTCACAAAGCAATCAGTCATCCACCCATTCACACACTGGTGATGATGAGCTACACTAAAGCCACAGATGCCCTGAGGCGCACTAACGGAGAACTGCAGAGCACAGGGGCCACCGGTCTCTCTCACTACCACCAGTGGGAAAGGCGGGTTGCGTGTCTTGCCCAAGGACACAACAGCAGCATTCTCTGGCAGAAGCCGCGATCGCACTTACAACCTTCCGATTACCAGACAACTGGCTCTGAGCTGGATCTGCCCAGTATGGAGACACAACAGCTCAGAGGACTGGACCATTCCCAGAAATTACCCTAAAGTTCCAACAATGGAGATACGCCTAGACCTTCTTCAGATTTCCTGCTTTTTGTTCCCCGTTTTATTTTCTCATTTATTTACGTTACTTTTGGTCTCTGAATGTTTTTTATTATTTGAGGATTTTTTTAAGGAGTAATGTTTATTTAAATTTTTCTGTTTCTTCTTTCCTACAGTGTTTGAGGTGGTCACGATTACAGGTGATGTAAAAGGAGCTGGAACTGACGCTAATGTCTTTGTTACCCTTTTTGGGGATTTTGGTGTCTCGCCCAAGGTTCACTTAGCAAGCAAGTAAGATTATGTTGCTTTTGTTTAATTATTTTATAACTAATACCCTTAAGAAATCAGGACCATGTCTGGATGATTAAATGAGCGCTGAATTGTTTGAAGTTTTTTCAAATATGTGCTTTTTGCTAAATTTTCAGGCTTCTGAAAGTCAGCAATAAACTTTTCATGTTTTCTACTCTTCTCTTTTCCTTCAGCACAGAAAAGAGGTATATTTTAATCAGCCTGAAAAAGGATGGTGATGATTATGTCCTTGTGTTGGGTTTTATTGTAATATAATGCTGTATGAGAGAGACTCCCTATATCTAGAGGACATATGCATTTTTGACACTAAAACTCTCTTTAAAAGTGATCGACTTCTTTAATTAAAAGTGTTTAAAACTCAGGAATCTCTCTTGCATACAGCTGAAGATGGTGCTGGACTCAGAATATCTGGAGTAAGGAGGAACTAAATGACATGGCTGGTCTTCTTTTCCATTCAGAAAGTAATGAAAGAAGACCACGATGTCATTTATGCAGATGATCAAATGACTCTCAAGGGATTTTATGAGAAGCAAACTCCTTTTATCTTTGCACACATTGATTGTCAGATAGGGTTACCTGTGAGGCGTATAAGCTACACCAATTTATTGTCACCCACTCTGAACCATGTCACCCACACCTCACCATGGTCCCATTCATTCACCTCCGTCTTCCTCACCACGCCTTGTATTCAGTATCTCCATGCTGTGTGACTGCCGGGGTCCTTGTCTGATTAAATCCCAGATGAGGAACGTGAATGCTAATCAGTTTTTTAATGAGCAAACTGCATAGTAAGGAGTTTCGCCTTACTCCAATATACATTAGGTCCTGCCTGTATTGTGTTTGTGCATTTTAAACATCACAACACAATACAGGTAAGGAGGTTTTGATCTCTCCAATCATATTCCCCCAATTTATGTATAAAAAATCAAGACAGATGAAAATGCTTTGGATATTCAGCGTGATCTCAAATTGCATGAATTCCAAAGTTTGTAGCTTTTTTCTGTCATTGTCTTGCATATTAATTAACAAGGAGTATGAGTGTGATGGTAGTATTTTATGATCAGTATTTACCAGTTAGCATCATAATTACACGAGCCTTGGTTTTATTTGTTGCTCAAAGATTTTAGACAAATAGAAGCTGACAGGTTTGAACGTTTTTAAAAGAATAGGTGGGATGTGCTCATGTGTGCACTTAAACTCGTGTACACGAGGAAGATGAGGGCGTGATGAAGTGGCAGAGCCTGGAGGATGGTTTCAGATTATACCACCACCAGGGAAGATTAATTAGGATCAGTTGGGAGGGGGGGAGGGTGCCATTTACAGATTCAGAGTTCCACTCCTTTATCTACATGAGATAATCTCACTGGATTATATAAAGGAAGTTACTTGCTGCATCTTTCTCACACATTTTAACGCTTTTCCTATCTGTCCAATTTGCAGAAGCCGGACTGCATTTGAGAAGAATAAGACGGACGTTTTCCATGTTAAAACACACAATGTGGGACCTCTCAGGAAGCTGAGGTACAGTGTAACAGACAGAATATCTCCAAGTGCTATATCTGTTGTGTGTTTTATGATAATTTACATATGAATGCAAACTGTTAAAATGCAAGTATTTGTTTCTACCATTGAATCCAGCTCATGGCAGGAACTGGTCACTCACAGATCCATGGTTGAAAATTTCTCAGATGGGACAGCAGTGGCTTACGCTTCTGGCCATCCTGGGATTTTATTATGGGATGAAAGGTCAAGTCCCCCATCTGTTGTTGTAAATGTGTGCCTAACTGGAGGCAGAGCTGCATCACAGCCAGCCAATAGAGATTAAGCAGTCCTGAATTCCTGCTCATGAACAAAATCACACAGGTGCTTTTATTTTTTACCTCTCACGCCTCCTTCAGAGTCGTCATCGTCTCACTTACTTATCATGGTTGTCATGGAGACATGCTCCACTGACAATCAACATGTGATCTTAGTAATTGTTCACCATCTGTCTGGACTGTTGAAATGACAACGGTGAAGCAAACTTTAGTCTTTCTGTTCGAAAACGTCTTTGGAATGTAGCATTCTAAGACGAGTACTGAGCTTCTGCATCATGTGGCGTGACATCATACTTTCTTTGGAAAAGTCTTGTGTGTAATACAGATGACGTAATCAATGTAGATACTAGATATTTGTCTTTGGTATCTGATCAGTATGGCAACATGTCACATTTCATTGCTAACTTACTAATATATTAACTTACAATCATTGCCAAAACTTTTAACGTTATTATTAAACTTTTAATAAAACAAAAGCACTAATGGCTACAAAGTTAGTAACCTCATTGTTTTCTTTAAAGATGTGGACCACTCGTTTAATCAATACATTTGCACGGATCTCTAGTTGGAATGAATGCCTTGTAAGTCGTACTCAGGGGGCAAAAAACACAGGGGCACCATTTCCAGGAACTTGAAGTGAGTCACTTCACAGCTGAGCTTCAGAAGGCAGGATTTGGAGTCTTATATCCTGATATTTGGACATCTCGCCTTGTATTGGATATCAGCAACGTGACTCTACCACTTTAATGTTTTATCTCCACAAATAGCACAAGCCTGAAGAGTTCTGCCGTGTGGTGGAGATGCTAATGCTTACGGTTAGCTTAAACTAGCTGAGACTTTCTCTGCTGTTTCCTGCACGCTAAACCAACAACAGCCTAGTCCATGAATGTTAAGTGACAGTGTGAATTAGAGCTGTCAAGATTTTCAAATCCTAAAGTTTCACTGTCTATTTTCTATCAGAAGCTAAAGCAGGAGACAGGTGTATGAGACTGGGCGTGGCTGACTATAATCAGAAATAAGATTTTAAACATGTTTTTTCGGTGTTCCACACCTTTAATCTTTTAATGGATAATGTTTGTGTCATTCTTCAAAGTTTTGTCTACGGATGTGATTTCCATCTGAGACAACAATAAGGGAATGCACTCCGTCGTGTTTGAAGTCTGTTTTGCAAATTAGAATGATCAAAGGCTTTGTAGCATTTGTTTGTTACAAATGCTAATGAATAAAATGTCAGATTTGCAACCAAATTACATTAACTCATTGTTAATGTGTTAATGTTATGTAGTCTGTTTGGTAAGACAGATAAAAAAAGCAATGCTTGTTATCGGATCAGAATGGAGGACTAAACGTCTTGCAGAATCCTTAGTTTGTGATATAAAATCCTATGAGACCTAATTGAAGTGCTGTCCAGACTGTGAACTTTGTAGCGGATCATTTGTGACACTGGAGCAGGTTTACTGGGGCCTGATGAAACATATCTGTTCCCATTAAGCCAGGTGAAATCTCATAATCTGGGTGTATTATTTATACTCTGGTTCTACATCATCATGCTGAGTCTCTGAGTCATTTCTGGTATCTGTCAGCTGCAATGTGCCAGAACAATTATATTTAGAATGTTTTGCTCTTGTGAAGCACCTCGTGATTTTTATCTTGAAAGGCGCAATATAAAAGACTTTCTTTTTCTTTCTTTATAGTACTTGTATAAGGAAATCAAAAATGATTCTAACATATAAGCTCATTATGGATTACCTGTAGGTGAAAATCGTTTCAGTCTCTGTTTTTATTTCTTTAGAATTGAGCACGACAACACAGGAATGAGCGCCAGCTGGTTCTTGGACAGGGTGGTGGTGACGGACGTAAATCGGCCCAATCTGCGTTATTATTTTGCTTGCAACAACTGGCTGAGTCGAGAGGAGGGTGACAACCTGTTTGTCAGGGACCTGCTGGGAAGCCTGAACCCCATGGACGTCCCAAAGTGTGAGTCCCTTAGAGAACAAATAATCTTAAAAGAATGCTAGGCAGTTTTGCTTGCTTTTAGCACCCCTACTGTCCGTTATTAATTTTCTGTGGTAAAACCAAAAATGAAACGTTTCTCCTTGCTGTGAGTTTGTCTTTTTAACACCGTAATCTAACTCCTAAAATGTCTCCTCAGCCCTCATTAGTTTCTAGAGGAGCGGTTCATCATTAAATGAAACAAATCAGCAGTGTTCACAATCTAAAACGTGCTGGAAGCAGACTGCAGCTCCACCATGTCAGTTGCACCCAACTCCACAGCTCCCTACCAGCAGGTAGCAGCCCGTCAACTCTAAAGTTGCAAGTCCGGTATTCCGGCCACAGGGGTTGGTGGGGTCTGAGTAACATTTCATCAACCCTGTAAAGGGTCACTTTAGCACATACTCAAGAAAATGATTTAAAAATATGAAGAATTTGCATACTATCTCTAAGCTTGGTGTCAATAAGACAATGTTCAGTGTTGTGTTTGAAACATATTAAGATGCCAAAAAGTTCATCCCTAGCACAAAAATATATTTTTAATGATGAGATGAAGCACTTTTTACCTGAATGGTTCTCAAACCTTTTAGCGTCAGATCTTCAAAATAGCAGTAATCAAGACATACAAACCCAGACACCTCTGATTTGACAATACAAACACAAAAGCTAAATAATTCAGGGCACAAAGAAAAACACTTCTGCTCTTCTCACTTATGTCCATTTATGATCATTTGGTTGAGCTAAAATTGTGCTAAAAATATAGCTTTGGCATTGTTCTTCCCTTTTATTTTGCTTTCTGGAAATCATATGAAGACCTCCTGTGTAGTTCTTGGTGACCCACAGTGAGGTCCCAACCCCAACTTTGGGAACCCCGTTTTAACTAACACTGATGGTAGTAAAACCGTGTGTTTGACCAGCTGCACACCCCGATGCCTGATGGTCTGAGGCTCTTCCTAAAGTTTCAGCTTGAGTTTCAGTGTAATCCTCAGGTAAAACCAGTACCTGTGACCTCTGTTGTAACGTAATCCAACATCTTAGCACCTGCAGTCAATCAAGAGGACGCTGCGCCTCGAAGGAGTGGTTGGAGCTCTACCGCTGTTGCTCAAATATAAACCACATATACAATATTTATTCATTGTTGAGTTGCAAGACATTTTTAGTTAAAACAAAAACCTTGATCTGATTTGTAGTTACTTGACTTCATTTCTATTATTTAATTGCACTATTTAGGAATTATATTGTTTTTTTAATTGAATGTTTTCTGTTCCATAATTTGCAGTGAACAAATATCTCGTGAGTGTGTTCACTGCTGATATGAAGGGAAGTGGAACCGATGCCGATGTCTTCCTCAATATCTTTGGAGAACACGGTGACACAGGTAGAGTGAAAGTCCTTGTTTTATTTGTTATTTGTCATATTTTTAGTTTGCTTGATGACATAATGGAAACAGTTTTAAGAGTTTAAATTCATTAAAATAAAGAATAATGAGAAAAAAAAACATGTATTTATATAGCAACACCCACAGGTGATGTACTAAGTTAAAGCTCTCACCCCATCTACTTCCTGATCATAGACCCCCGGAAGAACGAAATAATGAATGCAAGTCATTTATATTTTTGTTCTTCCAAGAACCCATGAGCTGACTGGAGAGGGAGGGACTTAGGCTTCCTATGCAGGTGGTAGGGGTTGAAGAAAATGTTCACATTCATCCTGCATGTGAAACTCAGCATGACTTTGAAAAAGAATACATTTCACATGACTTCTCAGTGAACGAGACCATAAACGCTTTCAACTGAAGACTCATTGTGTTTTGTTTTATTACAAAAGGAGAGAGACGACTGGACAGTGACAAAGACAACTTTGAGCGGGGCTCGGAGGACAAGTTTACCATAGAAGCTCCAAACCTTGGAAGACTGAGAAAAATCACCATTGGCCACAACAACCGAGGCTCATCAGCTGGATGGTTTTTAGATAAAGTGTGTAAATACTGTCAGGCATATGAATAAATGACCTTTAACACTGAGCATTTTATTAGTAATAACACTCCTATATGTGTTGTTTCTTTGTAGGTGATGATAGATGACATGGGGAACAAGGAAATTTATGAGTTTCCAGTTAATCGTTGGTTTGCCATGGATGAAGATGATGGTAAAATACAAAGAGATGTGCTGGTTGGATCACTGCAGCCAATGGGTGAGAAAACAAGAGCCGTTTGTTCAGTGGATTAGAAATGTAGCTGAAATGAGGCGTGTTATCTGAAACTGTTTGATTAAAAAATAAACTTAGACATACTTTGCTTTCGGCTTCTAGTTACTGCACACCGAGGTAGTTTAAAGAGGTTGTTCACTGGGAAACAATTTTTAATTTAATATTTATGAAAATGATCGGTCTCTGAGTTTAACATGCAGGCTGAATGTAAAAATTGTGTCCTACAACTAGCGTCTGCCTTTGCTTCTGATAGAAAATAGGCATTTGAAAAGCCTGACAGATCTATGTCGCACTGGCACACGTCACAAGTCACCCATCTTGACTCATGACGGGGAAGGCTGTTGTTGTTTTAACGTTGAGGTAACAGCAGAGAACGTGTCGGCTAGCAGAAGCTAACTGTTAGCATTAGCAACTCCACAATATGGCAGAACTCCTGTGTTTTGTGTTATTTGTGGAGATAAAACATCAATGTTGCAGAGCAAACAGAGTCAAAGGATGTTTCTCAATGCCAAGGAAGCTTGCCTTGATGTCTTGATCCCGCCATGGTTGCCTAGGAGATCAGGAACCGCCAAGAAAAGTTCTAATGTTCGTGTTTTACCGGGGAGTGTGTTCTCTGTTTGTTAGCCGTTTAGCTAGCTGAGCAAGGACACATGAGATGTGCCTTCAAGTCTAGCCTTGGTCAAAAAACTTCCCAGAATAAACCGCTGTATTTTCTAAAGGATGGTGGGTCAGAAGCCGACAGCTACTTCAGGGAAACATTTCAAGTTTAAATGTAAGCTAACTAATTGTAGCTATCGGGCTGATATCTGAATTTTTTTTTTTTAGATCCAAATCAGTTATCTATGGTTGGTTAGTTGCTTAGTAGTTGCAGCTTTGGTGGCTAGCAGGTACTAACTCACTTACATGTTTAATTTAACAAATATATACACAATATAAAACTTAAAAGGCTCATTATATATTTATATTGAAACTTATACGTATAAAATATATTGTTACTTCCTGTGTCACGTGACATTATTTGACACGTGGTCACATGATGCAAGTCGGATCCATTTAACCATTTTCTTTGACCAAGGATGGATACTGTCCTCGTAAACAAGGCGCCTGACCTCGAAAGACATCACCTTGCGAGGTCAGGCAGCTTGACTTTGAGTAACACCCAGGGTCTTGTTGCTGCTAGCCAATCAGAAGCGAGATCTCCAGATATCAGGAAGAAAGAATCCAAATCCTTCTGTCTGAAGTTACTTTCTCCTCTAGCTGAATTCTCTTTGCTGAAACAGGTGTACCTGGGCTTTTTTTCCCCAGAGTACAACTTACTTACTTATTCCTATATACTAGAGACTTTTCCAAATGTTTAAAAAATATTAGTGAAGGACTTCTTTAATTGAAAAAATTAATTGGACAAAAACAGATTAATACAATAACTAAATAATAATGGAACAAAATCTTTAAAATATTTTCATAGAAATTGCTTTTCCACAACAAAACGTTTTCTAGAAAAACAAAACCTTATTTTTTAAACTAGCAATTAATTTTTTTTTTCATCTATTCAGGAATTATTTACAATGTACAGGTGATGACTGGAAACGTTAGAGGTGCTGGAACAAACTCTAAGATCCACATGGTCATGCACGGCTCCAAGGGCTTGAAAAACAGTGGAAAGATTTTCCTTGAGGGTGGTGCTTTTGAGCGGGGTCTCATTGACATTTTCAATGTTGAGATCTGTGCACTGATCAGCCCTCTCAGCAGGATCACCATTGGGCACGATAATGGAGCCGTAGGTGCTGGATGGTACTGTGAAAAGGTACTACACAGTTCTGTTTAATCACAGTCACACAGGAAGTGCCATTTATTCCTCAAAGATCCCTTTTCCTTCCAGGTGGTCATTTACTGTCCGTTCACGGGCCTTGAACAGACCTTTCCATGTGGGATGTGGCTGGACGAGGACGAGGGGGATGGACTGATTGAGAGGGAGCTCTATGAGATGGTGTCTCTCAGACAGAAAAAACATAAAAGTGGGTCATCAATTTCAACCGTCTCCCTTTAACGGTTAAAGAACTGCAAATAGCTATGGCTGAAAACATAATTTTAAATATTAGCTCCTCCTCCTTTTCTAATCACTCCAGAATACCCTTGGTCTCTGTGGATTTGGACCTCTGATATCAAAGGTGCAGGGACAGACGCCCAGGTGTTTCTGCAGATCTACGGAGAGAAGGGCAAATCTGATGAAATCAAACTGGAAAACAACTCTGACAGTTTTGAACAGGGGCAGATTGACAAATTCATGGTAGGCTGAGAGCAGAGCATGCTTTTATTGTTTATGTTTCTCAGTAATACACGGTAATCTCCCATGAGGTAATTTTGGAGCATTTAGTGATATCTTACATTTCTGGGATTACTGTAGATTGAAATGCCGGACATGGGAAAACTGCTGAAACTTCGGATCTGGCATGAGAAGAGACATCCGTTTGCTGGTTGGCATTTAGGAAAAGTGAGTCTGCTGAGTCTGTCAGAGCTGTTCTACACTGTAGCCTGAGACTTACTACATTTTTTTTATCTTGCACAAATGTCACAATGCAAATGATTGGGGGGGTTGCTTTCTCACTGAGGGCAGTAATTCAACAGCTACTTTTGCATTTGAATCAAAATTTGGCTCGGAAAGATATTTCCCTCATGAGGACTCATGTGACATTAATAGTTATCATTCTCAGTAAAACCATCATCACGTTTGGGATGCATTACCATAACTTGTTGTATTCCACTTCAGCAGGTTAGAGTTTGTCGTAAAAAAACTTTGAATTCAGTCCAAATTCCACCACTCACTTTTGTTGTGCCTCTTGTTTATCACTATTTCTGAGACATTATCATATTGGGCTTAACTAAGCCTACTAATATGGTAAGAATTATACCTGCTGAAAAAACCCATAATGCAATTATATTTTCTTCACAAGGTCTCATGTTACACATCTAAAAACAATCTGTAGTCATTACAGTTCATATGCCCATTGGTGTCTGTTGGCATGGGTTCAAACATCTAATAGTATTGTTTCCAAAACAGATTATGGTGGATGAATATATAACTGGTTCAATCTCTGTTTTATCCAAAGAAAGATGAGAAACCAGAGTTCACGTGATAATCTGTGTGAAACAATGATGGCAGAGAAGTACAGGTGCTGGCCAGTAAATTAGAATATCATCAAAAGGTTGAAAATATTTCAGTAATTCCATTCAAAACGTGAAACTTGTACATTATATTCATGCAATGCACACAGACCAATGTATTTCCGATGTTTATTACGTTTAATTTTGATATTTATAGGTGACAACCAATGAAAACATCAAATCTGGTATCTCAGAAAATTAGAATATTCTAAAGGCCAATGAATAAATGTTTGTTTCTCTAATGTTGGCCAACTGAAAAGAATGAACATGAAAAGAATGTGCATGTATAGCACTCAATACTTAGTCGGGGCTCCTTTTGCCTCAATAACTGCAGTAATGCGGCGTGGCATGGACTCGATCAGTCTGTGGCACTGCTCAGGTGTTATGAGAGCCCAGGTTGCTCTGATAGTCGTCTTCAGCTCCTCTGCATTGTTGGGTCTAGCGTATTGCATCCTCCGCTTCACAATACCCCATAGATTTTCTATGGGGTTAAGGTCAGGCGAGTTTGCTGGCCAATCAAGGACAGGGATACCATGGTCCTTGAACCAGGTGCTGGTGGTTTTGGCACTGTGTGCAGGTGCCAAGTCCTGTTGAAAGGTGAAGTCTGCATCCCCATAAAGTTGGTCAGCAGCAGGAAGCATGAAGTGCTCTAAAACTTCCTGGTAGACGGCTGCATTGACCCTGGACCTCAGGAAACAGAGTGGGCCAACACCGGCAGATGACATGGCACCCCACACCATCACTGACGGTGGAAACTTTACACTGGACCTCATGCAACGTGGATTCTGTGCTTCTCCGCTCTTCCTCCAGACTCTGGGTCCTTGATTTCCAAAGGAAATGCAGAACTTGCTTTCATCAGAAAACATAACTTTGGACCACTCAGCATCAGTCCAGTCCTTTTTGTCCTTGGCCCAGGCGAGACGCTTCTTGCGCTGTTTCATGTTCAAGAGTGGCTTGACACACGGAATGCGACACCTGAATCCCATGTCTTTCATGAGTCTCCTCGTGGTGGTTCTTGAAGCGCTGACTCCAGCTGCAGTCCACTCTTTGTGGATCTCCCCCACATTTTTGAATGGGTTTGTCGTCACAATTCTCTGCAGGGTGCGGTTATCCCTAGAGCTTGTACACTTTTTTCTACCACATTTTTTCCGTCCCTTCGCCTGTCTGTTAATGTGCTTGGACACAGAGCTCTGCGAACAGCCAGCTTCTTTAGCAATCACCTTTTGTGTCTTGCCCTCCTTGTGCAAGGTGTCAATGATTGTCTTTTGGACAGCTGTTAAGTCAGAAGTCTTCCCCATGATTGTGGTGCCTTCAAAACAAGACTGAGGGACCTTTTAAAGGCCTTTGCAGGTGTTTTGAGTAAATCAGCTGATTAGAGTGGCAGCAGGTGTCTTCTATATTCAGCCTTTTCAGAATATTCTAATTTTTTGAGATACCAAATTTGGAGTTTTCATTAGTTGTCACTTATGAATATCAAATTTAAATGTAATGAACATTGGAAATACATTGGTCTGTGTGCATTGCATGAATATAATGTACAAGTTTCACGTTTTGAATGGAATTACTGAAATATTTTCAACCTTTTGATGATATTCTAATTTACTGGCCAGCACCTGTAAGGGTCGTGATACACTTGCTGTTAAACAACACAAACACGTGTTTAAAATGGCTGCCATGCGTTACTTGCGTTGATTTGAAATGCCGTTTGTGCGCGTCCTCCGAAATTAATGTGACGCATCTGAAAGCTGCAATATACAAGTAACCAGTAGGGGGAGTTGACAAAATAAGTGATACACACCATGGTAACTCTGTTTCTGGTTTAGATGTCTTTCATTAGCCTGGCTTGCCAGACTCATCCTCTGTCTACACAGAGAACTGGTCTGGTTACTCACAGGCAGAGAGGCACACAAGGGGCGGGACTAGCTAGCGCAAAAATAACCAATCAGAAAAAAGGCAGAAATGCAGCTGTAGTTTTTTAGTTGTAGTCAAAAATGGCATCTGGTGACGGCGCAAACCTCTTTTTTTTTTAGAAGAAAAGCTTGTAATGCTTCTTCTTGTTGTGGTTTTAAAGACATGTTCAAGTAATTTAGAAGAGAGAAAAGATCCGCAGAGAACTCCACTTCAATCTTTGTTGTTTATGAGAAACTGAGCGTCACTGTGTATTTTTTAGCTGTAGTCGAAAATGGAGTCTGGCGACGGCGCAAAGCTCTTTCTTTAGAACAAAGGCATTTAGCGTTTCTTCTTGTTGGGGTTTTAAAGAAATGTTCGTCATTTAGAACAGAGGAAAGAGCCACAGCGAACTCCGCTTCAGACGCCATGTTGATGAGAAACTCAGCATTGTGTGTGTGATGTACGCTGCTCAGCGCTGATTGGCTTGGTCAGAATTCTCAGGAGGTGGGGTTATTTGAATAGGAGAATTCCCCCGTTGCTTCCCATAAGGAAGCAAGGGCTGGCTGGTCAGGCTAGTCTTGATACCATCTATGATACCACTGCTTTTTTTCACAATGTCAAAATTAACTAGTTAGTGATCTCCTATTGACACCCACAAACCCAGCTCTCCGTACGGTCTGAGTAGTCTAATGTTCCCCCAGTGGAACAGCCCAGTACTACATGCAATGCAGTGCCATGTAGCAGCAAGAATGTGAACAAAGACACAGCCTACTCCCTGCGCCACCACAAGGTTTAACAGCAAGCATATCACTGCCTTTAGATGACTGTTTCGTAAACAGAGGGATGTGGGATTAAGACCTGCTCACAGTCGTTGTGTCCTTGCGCAAGACACTTAACCCCCCTTGCCTGCTGGTGGTTTTCTGTGGGACTGGTGGCACCTGTGCTCGACAGCCTTGATGTATATCATCACCACCAGTGTGTGAATGTGTGTGTGTGTGTGAAGTAAGGCATTGAAGGGTTGTAAAACCCTAGAGGGTGCTACACAAATACAGGACTTTTACCATTTGATGAAGACGGATGAGACTGTCATATTCTGCAGGTCACTTTGCTCAAGACGCTAACCATGGAGAAATATTCCTTTGATTGCGGCCGTTGGCTGGACATTAATGAAGATGACAATGAAATTGTAAGAGAGCTTCCAGCTACAGGAGCGTTCACCGAAGAGCCGCTGCCCTGTAAGAAACACACTTAAGGCTTGGTTCACACAGCAGGATTTTAAAATTGTCCAACATTTTTCAAAGCATGAGAGGCCACACACATGAAGATAAAAAAGAACATAGATATACCTAGCCTGGCAACACTCCATTGATGGTACTTGGTCATGGGGCGGGTTCTACCATTGTCTGTCAAACGATCTCCGCATGCCTCTGAACAACGAACAATGTGATGTACTCACTGCAATGGATATTGGTAAACAAGGCAGTCCACTGTAGAAAGAGGCAAAAATGCATCTCTTTTCTAAATAAAGGACTTAAATACATCTATCTGCTTCTTATTCTAATTAACCCCAAGTCCAAATAGTTCAAAATTGATGTAAACGCAGTTTCAAATGAGCTGTTGCTATCTTGTTCCACTCCATCTCATCATCCCGCCTACCAAACCAATAGAGCATCTTGTTTGGCCCACAAAGTCGATAGAGCGCTATGATTGGACCACAAAGCTGATAGAGAGCCGTTATTGGCCCACGAAGCCGATAGAGCACTGTGATTGGCCCTTGAAGCCGATAGAGCATTGCGATTGGCGCACAAAGCCGATAGAGAGCTGTGATTGGCCTGCCAGAATACTGCTAGTGTCTATGGAGGTTCCAATGGAGCATTCTTAGACCAAACTTTGCAAAGCAAGAATTTGGTCTGTTTCACTAGGCTAAGATATACCAGATTTGGTCCTATAGTGTGTGGTGTCTGGTTAACACTGCAAAACCTGCCGACCCATTTCACACACAAACAATTCCCAGTCAGATGGGAAATTTCTCAAGATCAAGTGTGACTTCAGGGTAAGCAAAATTGGTGAAAGAAGGGCTGAGCAGGATGCTTCGGCCATTTTGCTTTCTGACTGACCAGATGTCACATTTAACAGGAAGCATGCTTGTTGGTCCTTGAAAATTGAACCAAGAAAGTCAAACTCATTTGAAGGCCTGGATTTATGATTGGAATGGTCATGATGCTCTTCTGAGCAAAGCAAAGCACTTGTAACAGGCCACACAAGGTAATCTGGTGGATCTTAAAGATAGTTAGAAAGTGAGAATTGGGTTAAAAATCGGCATGTCTATCCTGTCGTGTGAAACAGTCCTGAGACATTTTCAAGTAAACACACTGAACATAGTTACAGTGAAATAATAATGCCTCTATATTTTATTTTTCAGTGATAAAGTATCGTGTCACAATCTGCACTGGTGACGTCAGCGGCAGTGGAACCGATGCCAGTGTGTTTCTTAATGTAATTGGTGACTTAGGTGACACAGGCGAGCGCCTAATGGTTACGAGCAAAACCAATGTCAACAAATTTGAAAAAGGGAACGTGAGTGAACTACTTATTAAATGACACATACTTGCTTTTATGACATCAACTAGCCATTTTTCTCTGTCCTCCCACAGCACGACGAGTTTCTCATTGAGTCTGTGTTCCTGGGCCCAGTGCGTAGAGTTCGAGTAGGGCATGATGGCCGTGGGGGAGGTTGCGGCTGGTACCTAGATAAGGTGATGGTCAGAGAGGATGGGCAACCAGAGTCTGCAGCCATCGAGTTTCCCTGTTCCAGGCAAGGCACTTTTGACATGCTGTTGATTTCTAGTCAGAATAGAATGCGGATAGGGTGACATTTCTTATTAGATATAGCTTTTAAATATATTATTTAAGTGACAATGTGTAGTTTTTACCATTAATCTCTGGAAATATCCATCGACATGTTGTTGTAAATGAATTAAAAGATGAAAAATATAGGCAGTTCCATAACCATAGAAATCTGTTCTAAAATACATGGGAGCAGGTCTAAGTCTCTGGGTGACGCCATATTGGATGCCATGTTTCCTTCTACGGAAGCCCGTGAGGACAAAATGCATTTACTGATTTTTAACAAATGGTTACAAAACTTTCACCATTAACTCATTCACTGCCATTGATGACTAAAGTCGTCATTTTAAATCCAACCGTTTACTGCCAATGTTTATACTGTGTGGGCATCGGAACGAGCCCCCGCACCATGAGAACAAACATCTCAGTTCTGAAGGTGATCTTCATCAGCATACGTCACATGCCACGTGATCAGGAAGCAGAAAATCCATGTGTTAGGAGCTCGTTTTGGCACGCTGCTGTAAAAAAAGTGAGGAGCGAACCGGAAAAGCTTCTGCCGATCACAATTCAACAACGGATTATGAAAGAACGGATAACACTTGAAACGCGCAGATTCTTCCTGATGTAAGAGGTGAGTCTCCACTTTGTTTTGGTTGTTTTGGCGTCGACATCATCCTAACGCGCAACGTTCTGTGACTCTTAAAAGAAACAGTAAAAACGGTGAGAAACGCTGGCAGCAAAGGGTTTTACCGATCAGGAAACGACTGGCAATGAATGAGTTAATAAAAATTGCTGTTTTACACATTTACTTCTTCACTTGTTGACAGTGATGAAAGGGAATATGATGTTCTTATTATTTTTGCTGGAGTTTGTGCTCCAAGAGATTTTTGACCCTAATGGCCATCCATTGTGAGGTCTTACTTGAACAAAAAGTAATGCTTGCTTTCAGTCATTTAGGTATGTACTGCCCCATATCTCCAGGGAAACTACACACTGTCACTTTAAGTACCATCTGCCCTAAAGCTTCAAAATTATGTTGTGCAGTAAATATATTTAATAAAATCTGCTTCGGGTCAGCTAAAGTTAAGACATTTAAAAGCAAATTTCACTGAAAACAATTTCTTTAATTATTATTTCTGATTATAATCAATCACACTGAGTTCAACATGGTGGCAGAACATGAAAATAGTCTCCTACACCTATCTCTTGCATTAGCTTCTGATAGAAAATAAAGGGTGAAACTCAAGGATTTGAAAATCCTGACAGATCTATGTCACACTGTCACTTAGCAATCGTGGACTCCCCCATCTTGACAGTAAAGTTTAGCATCCAGGATAAAGCAGAGAGCAGCCTAGTAGAAGCTAACCATTAGCATTAGCACCTCCACCACACCGCAGAACCCCTCCGGGCTTGTGTTATTTGTGGAGATGAAACATCAATGTTGCAAAGCAAGTGGAGTCTGTGGTCGAGTCGTGTTGCTGTTAGCCAATCCGAGGCAAGATGTCCAAATATCAGGAAATGAGACTCCACATCTGATGCTCAACTCGGATCTGGCTCATTTCTAGTTCCTGTAACAAATGCACTAGAGCTCTTTTTTCCCCAGAGTAAGGCTTACAAAGCATTCATTCCTACTACAGACCATTATGAGTGTTTTAAAAATATGAGTGAAATTGATCTTTAAAGAAGTTCACTGATAAACCACTATTTACTTTTTATGTTTGAAATGCTGTCGGTCCATTTGCGTTTCACATGCAGACTGAACAAGAAAATAGTCTTCTACCTCTATTTCCTGCATTATCTTGCATTATCAGGACTATTTAAAAATATTCTTAATAGTTATTCTGTAATGTTCTCATCCTAGATTTCTCTGGAATCTTGAATAATTTAAGCAGTTCTGACCTCTGATACAAACATCTAATAAAAAGCTTTCAAACTCATTGTAAACAGCTCATGGGTGGTCTTAATTTGTTGCCTTTGCAAATACTGTAAATAGGAAACACTGTGGACAAAATGTATTTTCATACCATAACAATGATGTGAATTTTTATTTTATTTTCTTAACAATTTATTTTTAGTGAATGTAGTAACCCACATTTCCATGCAAATAAGTAATATCAATACAATGTTTTGCATATTATAATCATATAATAATATTATCTAAAATCCACCAAGCTACCAGCCAGAAAGTTAAAACCATACCAATGTTTTCAAAGCTCTCCTAAGTGATGTAAATTGTTCATGCTTGGGTTCACTGGGTTTCTGGTGGCATGTGTTCGAGTAGTTAGGTAACTGATGGATGGCTAAGCCATTACAAATGGACACTAAATGCATGCAGCCAGCCTGCTCTCTTGTCCTGTAACTGGAGTCCAACCACAAGGCTAGGTGCAGTGTTACTTTTGAGAGAAAAAAGGAAAATAAAACATGCTTGTTAATTAGATGGTCCGGTAGCTTTAAATGAAGAAACAAGGTAGAAGAGGCAGCTGCTTTACTATGTAGCATCACACTTTATAGCGTAACGACTGCATATGACCAATAAGATGTGATAATTCCATATAAATATGAAAAATCAACCTGATTGATCTTTGAATGTTTAATCAGAAGATTTTAGGATTATTTGCTTGTTCAGGGATCATAAACATGCTTCCTATTAATTCAGGCAGAGTCAAGTACATGACAAGCTATGAATAATGATATGTGATGGAGTGTATATGTGGTGATGGAATGTGAGTTGTAGGTGGTGTGGTGTAAAGTAGATGTGTATCAGAACCTTTGTATCTGAAAGAGATTGTGAATTCTGAGTGTAAAAGAATTTGGTGTCTACTATAAACTAGAGAGTTGATTATTAATAAAACAACATCAGACGCAATCTGCTGTGTCTACAAACCCTGATCGGAGACCCCCGGTCAGATCCGGAATGTCAGGAAGTCGGGTGGACCTCAAGGCACCGAAATTCGTAGATGAACCGCGGTGCGACCAGTCCGGTCTAGAGATGTCTCCAGGTCACAACAGGCAGGAAGGTTCATTGCATCTAAAACGGAGGTGCTCTTAAGGAGCCGTATGGCTGTGTCAGCTGGTGGTGTGCCAACAGGTTTGACTGTGTGCCAAAAGAGAAAGGTGTCTCAAGGAGGCTGGTTCCGAATTGGCCACTTCTGAGTTCCGCTCAAAACTGAGTAACTCGGGAAGTCATTCTAGTTTTAATAATCCACTTGTTGTGATTTCTGGCGAATCAGAATTTGACATGTTTGTAGGCTTTACCAAACATCCCTCAGAAAACAACACCTTCCAGATACAAGCTGTTCTAATTCTGTGGATAAAGAATCTTTAACTTTATGTGAGGTGACTTTAACCTTAATTTGCATCTAATGAACATTGTGTATGAGTGTAGATAATTATTAACTTGTTAAATCAAACAGTACTGATCATAAGATATAAATGGATCATTGTAAGAACAATATTTATTTCAACTTCACTGAATTAGGCACAGATTATTCAAACATTTCATGTAACATGTGGTTTATTCAACCATATGAATACTTAACTTATGAGTTGTAAAAGTTCACTTTTTATTCAGAGTGTCGAATCCAGAAGTCTGAGATAAGAGGACAGCCTTTGTTTGGAGACCCAGTTTGACAATCTTGTCTTCGTGGAATGTTAACAAGCACTGCAGAATCTTCTGGGTGTTAGAAGATAGAACAGAAAATCCACCTAGATAGTGGAGTTATGTCTGTAGATGACCGATCACTATGTAGGTCAATATATGGATCAAAATGGACCCTTTCTGGATGTTACAGCTACTTTTTCCTTTACTGTTTTTTTCTCTCTGCTGAACTGATTCATATTATTCTAACAGAGATCTGGTTAATATGCACATTTTTATTCCAGTTTCTTGCAATTTAAAGAATCAAATAAACAAAAACAAAAGTTTGTTTTTTTCCAGGTGGTTGGACCGTAATGAGGATGATGGACAGATTGTCCGTGAGCTGGTTCCAGCCGGAGAGGGGCTTCGTCTCTTTAGTATGACCTGAAAGTTTCATGCACACAGAAGCTACATTAGGGCATTTTCCTTTGCTTTCACCTCAACATAAATATTCTACTTGCTTTCAGATGTCAACTACCACATAGCAATCAAGACAGGCAGTGTTAATGGGGCCAGTTCTGACTCCAGAGTGTTTGTAAAGCTGTACGGGGAGAAGGGTGACACCGACAGGGTCATTCTGGCCGTCTCCGACAATGACCTTCGGAACTACTTTGAGACAGCACGCACCGATATCTTCATCCTTGAAACTTACGACGTTGGAAAGGCAGGTTCTCCAACGTTCGGTAATACTTGGCAGATAACTCCGGTTTAAATATTTAAGTCTCTTGAAACATTTAATCTGGTGCTTGTAGATTAATCGTCTTCTGATTGGCCACACAAACGAGGGCTTACGGGCCGGATGGTTTCTGGACAGTGTGCAGATTTCTGTCCCCATTCACGGGATGCAGTACATGTTTCCGAGTCACCGCTGGCTTTGCAAGGATGAGGCAGACGGAAAGGTGGAGGTGGAAATATATCCCAGTGAGGTTTTGGAAATTGAAAAATGTAAATAGGAAAAATGACATGGAAAATCTCTTCTTTTCTACAAAGCCTTGTATTTTATCTCAGTACTCCCATGTCTTCTCTGTAACAGTGATCAACTATGAAGTAGCAGTAGTCACTGGTGATGTCCGCGCAGCTGGGACCAATGCTAATGTCTTCTGTCAAATCTACGGAGACGAAGGAAAAACCGAAATCCTCTCGCTGAAAAGTCGCTCCAACAATTTTGAACGTGGCACAACTGAAATATTCAAAGTCTGTAGTAAACCTTGAGTCAAATAAGCCCCTGGCTAAAGTTTCTACTTTGAATAATTTATTTTCTTGATGATCCAGATCGAAGCTCTGGATGTTGGAAAGATCTATAAGATACGCGTTTTCCATGATGGGAAGGGTATCGGTGATGGGTGGTTCCTGGAGACAGTGGACATCAAGCGACTGACGATGGCAGTGGTGCAGGTTGAAGTCAAGAAAGAGGAGACAACCAAGAAAGACAAGAAAAAGGACAAGAAAAAGAAAAAGAAAGAAGAGGAAGACGAGGTGGAGGTAATAGAGGAGCTGAGGGAGGTGGTGGAGACGTATACTTTCCCTTGTAACCGCTGGCTGGCCAGGGACGAGGAGGACGGGGAGATTGTTGTTGAGTTACTGACTGAGGACAATGAAGACTTGGAGTGTAAGTAGAGCGTGAACGCGTTAACGTTCGAGGCGAAGCTTTAAATATGGAATGATGTCAAAATAGGTCAAAGCTGTCTTGGGTAAAATGTCACTAATGCTTAGCTGCTTTCATTTCAGTGAAGTCATATGACGTGTACGTGTACACCGGGACCATGTGGGGGGCTGGGACCGATGCTAACGTGTACATCAACATCTACGGAGAGACTGGAGACACGGGGGAGCGGTGGCTCAGGAAATCCAACCACGTAAACAAATTTGAGAGAGGCCAGGTGCATTTCTTTTATTGCTTTTCTGTTTTAAAACATTAAGAGGCATGAAAAACATATTTTAAGCTTGGTTGTTTTGCAGATTTGCCATTGTAGCTTTAATTTTTCAAAACAAATTTCAATAAATACCCTCGTGCGCAACCTGTCTGTGACAGTTTTTTAAATCCTCTGTTACTCTTTTGCATGTGTGTGACACAGGAGGATGTTCTGAGCCTCACAGCAGTGGATCTTGGGGTTCTGAAGAAGCTCAGGATCAGACATGATAACAGCCAGGCCAGCGCCGGCTGGTTTTTGGACCGAGTGGAAATCGTAGACACCAAAGACGATATAACGTAAGTCCAGAAAATCTCAGAAAGTGGTTTGGTTGAGATGTAACAGCACCTTCACATTAAACAACAGCAGCTTTAAACAGCAACAACTCATTCACCTGATGGAGCTGTGGCATGTTGGTAGAGCTCCTCCGTGTGGTGTGGGATGATATTAGATTTATCTCATCTTGACTATTTTCTTAAAGTTTTTTTTGGACAAACAGAATTTTAAAGTCCTCCTTTGCATCCTAAACTATTCTGTTTAGAGTCTTCATGAACTGTTATTATTAGCATTCCTATGCTCTGTTTTAGGTACTTTTTTCCATGTAAACGCTGGCTTGCTGTAGATGAGGACGATGGACAGCTTGCTAGAGAACTCGTCCCGGTGGATGAAGCCTTTATGAGGAAGGGGGATGAAGATGAAGAAGACTCAGAGGCAACACTTGGTTTGGAGCAGAAGGGTGAGAGAAGCTCTGAATGTGTCCAGGAAAAGGAGTTGTGAAGCAACAAAAGGAACCACTGATACTCAAATCAGCTGTTTAAAATGAAATAGATAGAAAAATTCCCTCTGTGTTATTAATTTCTGCTTCTTTTTTTCCAGCTATGTCTACAACGTACACAGTAAGGATCAAAACTGGTGACAAGAAGTACGCAGGAACGGATGCTAACGTCTTCATGACCCTGTTCGGCACCAAGGATGACACAGGTGACACTTGGGATCAATAGTTTGTGTTATATGTGTATTCATAAAACATCAAGCCTCGCATTTTGCACTTCTTCAGGAATAATTACCATGAAGGCTTCAAAGACTCATAAAAACAAGTTTGAGAGGTATACCACTGACGAGTTTACCGTGGAAGCTGTGGATCTTGGGCCGCTGCAAAAGATTCGTATTGGGCACGACAACTGTGGTACATTAAGACAACCCAACAAACTGTGCTGTAATCCATGCTAAATGAGTCATTCAAATTCACTATTACTGGTGTTTAAGGAGGGGGCTCTGCAGGCTGGTTTCTTGACTGGGTGGAGATTGATGCCCAGTCCCTGGGACAGAAGCTTTGCTTCCCCTGCGGCCGCTGGCTGGATAAAGGGGAGGATGACGGAGCCATTGTCAGGGATCTTTTTCCTAATCCACTTCAGACGGAGTTTTACACCCCGTGTAAGTGTCAGAGTTAAAGTAAAACACTTCATTCATTCTTTTGGTTCCCTTAACTGATTTTAAATTTGTTTCTCAAGTTGTGCCCTATGAGATTAAAACCTTCACAAGTGATGTGTTTGGAGCTGGAACAGACGCGGACGTGTTCATTGTTCTGTATGGAAAAGACTCAGTGTGCACCCAGCAGAAGTCTTTGTGCGTCAACAAAAGGGAGAGGAGAATGTACTTTGAAAGAGGAGCCGAGGACATGTTTATCGTCGAGGTATAAAAAAGTGCAAATTTGTGTACAAAGCAGTTGCAGTCACCGATCATGCAAATCCAGGAAAAGCAAACATGTGTATTGTGATGCTGTTAAATTAGCAATGGTGCATTGCTCTCTTTGCAGTTAGAAGATGTGGGAGATGTAATTGAGAAGATCCGCATTGGTCATGACAACCGCGGGGTCAATCCGGGCTGGCACCTGGACAGAGTGGAGATTAGGCGTCTGCTCAGAAAAGGAAAGGTAAAATTCATTTCCCACCACCAGCATGACGATTCAGAATACATTTCTCAAAGGGTCAGACAGACATAATGTTTGTAGGGTTAATCAAGCTTTTAAATAAGGCACAAACAGAAATTCAGTGTAATTCTATAAAGTGATCTTAAAGGGCCTTTATCATTCTATTTTATACCTTCCAGAGCAACTATAGGCACTTCATGTGATAAAATATTTTTGATGCATGATTCCCATTTCATTTTTTATGAAATGCATGTTATTTACATGAGCCAATCCTTCGACTCAGGAATATTGGGTCCGATCAAACCCCGCCTCCCCTCATGTTTATTCCTTAAGAGTACACAGCTGCAGACCCGGAGACTGCAGATGCATTCTTGCTGCAGATTCAAGCCCATATGTCCCAGTCAGTGATTGCCGAATGCCCCAACCCCGCCAGAAAAATCCCTGTCGGAAGGTCGACTCAGACGTAAACACTCACACGCATGAACACACACCACTCGGATGGGGAAAAGGCAGCTGAATGAACTTTTGTCCCAGTCCATCCCTGACGCTCACCCAACAGACTTTATACCCATTCGGCTAGCAGTTGGCATTTTGGCTGTACTCACAGCTCCAGCCTCTCCATTGGGCGGTTTTAACGTTGCAATAGTGCCAGTTTGAAGAAGTTCTTTGTCTGAAAATGCACTCCAGTACTGGTGGTAGTTTAACAAGCGGTCTGTGAAATCACTGTCACATTCTGGCTCAGCGTTTGACAGCTCCTGAAGATAAAATATAACCATTTCTGCAGATTAAACTATCCTTCAGGAAGACTGAACAGTTCTGTTCCTCTCACAGGCAAAATTCCATTTTTGAGTTGTAGGCATTATTTAAGGTGCAGACTAGGGATGGGTACCTTTGACATTTGAATCGATCCGGTACTAATTCCCGGTACCTAGGAATCGATACCGGTACTTAACGGTACCAATTTTCGATAGTTTTGAGTGTTTATTATTTTAACTCTCTTTTATAATTAAATATAAATTTTTCTCAATATATAACCATATTTGATAAATATCACGATAAATAACATATAACTGTTTGTATTTTAACATCGTCCTTGTAGTTTTATAAGCTGATAATTAAACTGAAGCAAACATCTTTACTGTGAACTAAATTTACTGTGTATCTTCATTCCTTTTACCGTCCTTTTTCTTTGATTTTTCCTACTGGGAAGTTAGAATTTCCGAGGAGAAAGCGAACGCACCATTAGCTGATAACGGTGGCAATGGAAGCTAATTTATCAAGCTAACGTTATCTTAAACAGTTTATTTAGCTGCTGGAGCAGATTAAAACGATGATGCCTCACACTTAGATCGTTGTCGCTGGTTTCATCTTCACCCAATCACCCGTCGCATTTAGTAAAGTGAAGCCAAACTTTAGAGCGCATTCATGTTTTTCTAGTCAGAAATTCTGAGTTCCAAGGGGAAAGCGAACGCACCATTAGCTAGACGGAAGCTAACAAATCAAGCTAACGTTATCTTAAACATTTTATTTACCTACCGGAGCAGATTAAGATGAGGATGTTTCACTTAGATCGTTGTCGCTGGTTTCATCATCGTTTTTTCTACCATGCTGCTCTGTTTACAAATCGCTCGCAGCAAGCGACGACATAACGCTCTTGCGCATGCGCAGCTGTCTTGGCAAGTTCTCTTTATGAAGGACGGGTACTGAAACGAGGCACAGTTTGAAATGACGTGAATCGGTGCTCGGTCGGTACTGTGGAATTCGGTCGGTACCTTAAAAAGTACCGAATTCGGTACCAATCCCTAGTGCAGACTAGATAAAAAAATAAATTATTTCTGTGGAGATTTGCTCCCTGCTAGCTACTCTGAGGGACCACGTGTTAGTGTTTACAGCCCAGGGGAGGATTCAACACTACATGGATGGGGAGGAGCGGGCCAAGATAAAATAACAATGCCCCATCCAGGATTTTGCAACAGCTAAACAGGATTTAGTAGGAAAATGCATGTGTGAAGCCAAAAACCTCTTTGAGTTTGTTTTTCATGATAATAACAATACCTAAAGCTCCAAAAAAGTATTTTGCATAATATAGTCTCTTTAAACTGTTTATTGAGTTGTGACTTATTCAATTACATTAAACAAAAGAAAAGGTCAGATATTTGCCCTAAAATGAGTTATGTACAGATATAATATTCATCACTAGATGGATGATAGTCACAACCTGAGTAACTACAGTAACAATCCTCACATTTAATGCAGCAGCAGACATGTTTGTGTTTTCTAGAACTCTTTCTGGCCATTAGGTGGGGCTGTTTTTCCTCACAAAAGAGTGGTAGTCCCTCAGCAGTGGGCCTTCATCATGATATGAGTTAGGTGAGACATTTTATTCACCTTTAACCAGATCTACACATCTGGTTCTTTGCAGGGTTCTGAAACAGTCATCTTCCCCTGTGAGCGCTGGCTCGCCAAGTCCGAAGACGATGGAGAAACAGTGAGGGAGCTGGTACCCTCTGACATCATCACTGAGAAACTTTCCAGAGACGGCAACCTGAAAGTGACCGAGGTTGAGGTGGAAGATGCCCTAGAGAGTATGTATTTGTTTGCTTCCCCATTCTCTACTCTGGTGTGATCTGTTATGACAGCACTATTAATGGATGGGAAATTGCTACCTTTCAGTGTAATATCTGTATAATTGCCTGAAACCGATCAATTTGTGTTTGTTTGTGGTCATTACCCCCCCCCCCCCCACACACACACACACACACACACACACACACACACACGCGCAGCCCACACATACAAAGTGTCAGTAATGACGGGGGACGTGAATGGATCTGGCACGGACGCTAACGTCTTCCTCACTATCTACGGAGACCTGGGCGACACCGGAGAGAGAAAGCTGAGCAAGTCGGAGACGAACAAAAACAAGTTTGAACGTGGATCTGTAAGAAAACTTACACTTGACTAGATCTGTGTCTTTACTCCTGTCTCCCATTTTTACTGTAAACATCAACCATTTTCTGTCATTTCAGAATCGTTTAAAAAGAACATTTAACATATTTTAAGCCATTGTCTGTTAGGTGGATAAGTTCACGATAGAAGCTGTTGACCTTGGCCAAGTTTTCAAGATAAAGATTCGCCATGACAACAGCTTGGTGAGCGCCGACTGGTACTTGGACCAGGTGGAGGTGTTTGATGAAGATACAGAAGAAGTCTACCTATTCTTATGTGAGCGCTGGCTGTCCAGAAAGAGGGAGGACAGGCGCATTGAAAGAGTCTTCTACGTCAAGGTAACTCAAAATAGGACAAGTAAAGGGAGGACGTTTTGGTAAAGGTCAAAGGGTCAGTTTTTTTTTTCAAATTAGCTCCATACCATCGACCTACTATTTATGTGATGCCTTTGTAAGACTTGTGATTTCTTGTCACAAATCTGAGCTGAGCTGGTCCAATTCAGCTCAGTGGCCTAGATGTAGAGTGTCCACCCTGGGACATCGGAGTTCAAATCCTGGTTGGGTCACACCAAAGACTTTAACAATGGGATCCAATGCCTCTGTGCTTAACACTCAGCTTTAAGGAGTTGGATTGGGGGCGGAAGCCCAACGCCAAGCTCAAGACTGAGCGGCTCATTTGATTGTTTTTCTGGATTTATATTTCCTTTTCGCGGTGCAGCTACGTGTCGTCTGTCTCTGTTTGCTTATTCTCTGTCCCTCACGCAGCAGAAACAGCAGAAAAGGAAGCTGAAACCACAACTTCTCTTCCTTTAAAACCCAGTTTGGATTTTTCTGATGTTGTGGAGTTACGGCCATTCAAAGGAAGCGTGTAAAATGTGTCAGAGTTCATTGTTATAGTGAGTCTTTTTTTGACAAAACTGTCAAGGAGGAGTTTTAGTGTTTTGATGGTATGATGCCATTTCCTGTCATTTTTGTGAACATTACTGTTTATTTTGAATAATGTGCTGAAGCTTGATTTGAAGAAAATTGTGAATAGAACTGAAATCGTAATTTCTGCCAGAAAAATCGCAGTCAAATCTTTTCCTAAAGTGGTTCAGTGGTTCACAATGTTTCATCTTTTCTTCTTCTAGCCATCATAGGGTAAGTGTCATGTGATGCTCACTCCAGATTTAGGTGTGAGTCCAAACCTGAAGAAGATAATATCAGGTATCCATGGCTCGTTCATGAGTGATGGGAGGATGGGGCGAGGGATGGACTGACAGATCGGGGCTTCGGTAATGAGAGTGTTGCTGCTGAAGAACAAGCTGAGCTGAAAGACAAGGCTCTTGAATTACTGGATCATCTTTAACCCTCACTCTTGGTCATGAGATTTGCATCATGACCAAAAAAAAAAGAGATCCTAGAAACATGCAGATGAAATGTAGGCTGGAGATAAGGAGAGATGATCCAGTGGTCATTGGAAGGAGAGCCACTGCTCAGGTGGCTGAGGCATCTGATTAGAAAGCTTCCCAGTTGCCTACCACCAGAGGTTTTCCAGGGAGCGTGGGGCAGACCCAGAAATTTCTGACTTGGGATGGAGGTTGGCAGAGGGATGTCTGGGTTTCTCTGTTGGTCCTGTTGTAGAACGGATGGAAGGATCTTTTTATGTGTATTAGTGATTCCTCTGGTTTGATTAGTACTAGTTTGCCAAAGTGTAGTTTGTGGTTTATAACAATAAAGATGGTAGACTCATATGCTCATGCTTTAACAATGTAACTTGTAAAGCAAAACGTCAACTAATCTTGGTTACTAAACTCTTGTAGAGTTAGCATACGTATGTATTTTGGGTGCTTTTTAAGCTCAATATACTACACTACATTTGACCAATAAGATGTGAATTTCTATATAAATATGGAAATCAAATCTGATTGGTCTTTGAATGTTTAACTGGAAGAATTAGAGTTCTTTGTTTATTCATGGATTGTAAGAAACTTCGTATTAATTCAGAGAGAGTCAAGTTTATAAAAAGTAAGAAATTTATTTTCTAAACAATCAAAACATGACAACTAGGAAACACTTCATGTGAGGAATGAATTTGGTCTCCTATAAACTATAAGTGATGGTATATAAAACCACATCAGACGCAATCTGTCGAGTCTAAGTACCCTTTCGAAGACCCTCGTGGTAGATCCGGAATGTGTGGAAGTCCGTGGACCCCAAAGGTACCGAAGTCCGTAGAAGAAACCGCAGTGCCACTAAACCGGTCTCGAGATGTCCCCAGGTCACAACAGGTAGTTATTTGCGTCTATGGAAGACTCTTAAGGAGTCGGAGCTGGTTCAGCTTTATTCTGAAGGAACCGTTTGCGGTCGGCTGTAGCGTGCAACAGGTTTTGACAGCTTGTCAAAAGATGCAATGGGAGAAGAGGCTTCTTCCGATGGCCAGTCAGAGTTAGGCTCAACTGACTCAACCCGGGAAGGGATTTTAGTTTTATTAACCTACATTATGATTTACTTGGCCAACCAGAATTTGACATGTAAATGGGTTTTGCCAACAAACCCCAGAACACTCCTTCCTCAGATAAAAGAGCTCTGATTTGTGGATCAGAAAATATCTATGTGCAGTGACGTTAACTTTAACTTGCGTCATGGAGATATGGTGAGTGTGTCTTCTCCAGTCACGTACGCTGGTTAAATATGTGGGTCATGTATTTCATTTCATCCTCATTAATCTAAGCACAGATTAATCAAAACATTTCATTTAACCATATTGTTCATTCATTATATAATTATTTAAGTATTCCGTTTAACCATATTGTTCATGCCATTTCATCATTATTCTAAAGGTTCATTCTTATATAAGTTCATTCTTCTTGTTCTGTGAAGCAAAGCAGATAAAGATAGAGGAGACTTGAGAGGGACCTTGGTCAGGCAACAGTATCTTTCTTGCAGATTAAAGGTTCCAGTTAAGACATATGTCTCCATATGACCAGATACTGAAGAAGTCACACTGTAGATGAAAACTGATCATTTCTGGACGCTACACTCTGCGAAAGAGAAATAAGTAAATACATAATTCAGCTCTATTACAGGTTCGCTGTTGGTGTTTCCACTTTTAGAGCACTCATGTATTTTTGAAGCACAGCTAAAATCGACTTGAGCAAGCTGCATCAGCTCTGCTCATTGTTGTCTGACTGGCTCAATAGTTTTATACATCCAAAACCGTCCCTCATGGAGAAATGTAATTCTCACTCACCTCACAGAAGGTTTCATTTTGTATCTTATTCGTCTGTGAGACTTCAGCAGGTTTTTTCTAGTCTATGATGATGTTGGACACTTCGAACACCCTGCACCTGTAACAGGAAAAATACAAGCACTTTTTCTTAGTCACATTTAATGGTCTCTGTGGATTTGTTGTAGCCATCTGTGTGTTTTTGCCTGTATCACGGTTTGTCCTCTGTGTTTTAGGGTTATGAAGGAGTGAGAGAGAGCCTGGACAGTAAAAAGAAATCAGCTTTGACTCTAAAGAGTGTTGACAGTAATATGAACAAAAAGAACAAAAAGAAGAAAGATGAAGAAGAAATCGAGCTCCCAAGTGAGAAACATTATCATTTTATCTTCTGCCAAATAAACAATTGCATCCGGTAATCAACGGTTCATCTGAGTGTCTCTCTTGTGCAGTCATACCATACCACATCACCATCAGCACCGGAGAGGAGCGTGACGCGAGTACCACCAGCAGGGCTTATGTGATCATTGTTGGGTCCAATCATGCCCAGACGGAGAGGATGTGGCTGGACCTGCCGGACGGGAGTAAAGGCTTTCAGGCCGGCTCTTTGAAGAGTTTCGAGGTCAGCGGGTCAGATGTGGGGGAGTTTAAAAAGGTGGAGGTAAGTGAGGCTTTTTAGGGGTTTTCGCAAGGACTAGGCACTCTCCATGCTTTCTCTGACACACGCATACACAGTGTACAGAAAACACAGCCTTGTTGCTCAAAGCGATTGTTCTTTCCCTCCCTGCAGCTCGGCCATGATGGAGCCACTCCAGAAAGCTGCTGGCTCGTTGATGAGCTGGCTGTTGCTGTGCCAACCAAAGGGGTCAAATATATCTTTGCTTGCAAGTGCTGGCTAGCCAAAGATCGAGGTGATGGCTTGACTGCTAGAGAATTTAATGTGCTTGATGCAGAGGCCATTGCTATCTCACAGAAGGTACATAATCATGGACAAATATGTACAAAAGCATATGGAAGATAACAGACACCGCAGTTAGAGGCACATTTCCTAGTTTAAAGGTACAATAAGTAAGAATTTTACAGTAAAATAATCACAAAACAGTCATCTCAATCATGTTGGAAGGAAGGTGACATTAAATCAGATTTTCTTTAGCCAGCTGAACGATTGTCAGTTTTTCTACTTTAAAAAAAAGGTCAAAAAGGGACATAGTCTTTGTTTGCAATCTGTCCCATACTTTCTGGTTCCAGAGCGAGCCAATCATATTTGAACCTGCAAGGTCGCCAAGTCATACACAGAAACACGTTGCTGGCATTTTTATTCAACACCAACTGTCAAAAGCAGTGGTGTCAGGGGCAGAATGTTAGCCAGCAAAAGGAGCGCCCCGGAAGTTATTTTGAAGAAGCTACGGCATCTTTTTGTCTTACTCTAATATTGGGTAAAAAAGACTAGAGGCTAACATTGCGCTAACAATGTTAACGGTGAATTAGAGGCAAACAGTTAGCTCTAAAAATATCTCAAGCTACTTTTTTTCATTTACTAACAACTCAAAATTTCAGTGGAATGTATTCACCTACTTATCAACTTACTCGTCTTCACTCATCATCTAGAATCTTCTGGCGCTGAGCCGTGACCGGTAACAGTTGCTCAGAGCAGACGTATTTGTTTAGAATCATGGACTGCAGTACCCAAAACTGACCACAAGATGCCATTCTTACCTCATGCACCTTTACACAAATACTACTTTGTGGGAAAGTGTTTAGTGGTTGAACTGGACTAGTAAAATGTCTGATCTGTTATAGATTATCTATGAGGTGACAGTGGTAACAGGAGATGTACAGAATGCAGGAACAGACACCAAGATCTTCATGTCGGTGTTTGGTGCCAACGGCAGCACAGAGGAGATGCTGCTGGAAAAAAACGAGGACAGGTAGCTAAAAATTTGTGACTACTCCTGTTTATAAAGCGATGCACTGGATTTTAAACTCTTTATTGTTTGACGGCAGGTTTGAGCGCGGTCAGGAAGACACCTTCAACAAGGAGATTGATGACATAGAACCATTAAGGAAAATGAGACTTCGTATTGATGGCTCTGGCAGTAGACCTGACTGGTTTCTCGACAAGGTCAGCTTACATTATGTAAAATACATCCAGCTGGTTGGTGATGAAGAAGGAACTGTAAATCCTATAAATTATCTATATATGTTATAAGAAGTTTGATTAACCCTCTGATGCATGAATTATGAAATCTTCAACCATGATTTTTTAAACAATTTTTTTCATTCATTTTTAGGTGCGAATGAAACAAATTTCAACAAATATCTTTTGTAATGTTTTGTTAATTTACAAATAATTTATTACATGTCCACCTCAGTGGACAACGTGCATTCTGAACATGAAATATGTTGGCTTGACTTACTGAAGTCCAAATGGAGGGGCTCAAGTGCCATAAAGTCTTCAACAGCTGTGCTTAATAGCAAAAATAAATAAATAACAATTTTGAATACCTGTCCACTGTAGTGACCATTATGCATCAAAGGGTTAATTTATGTTGTATTTCAAAATCAGTAACACAACACAGGTTTGTGTGTTATCCAGGACATGCTAAGTCACATGCTCCTTCTGTCTGCCTGAATGAGAGCCATTATTGATCTACCCCACTTATGCACGCACACACACACACACACACACACACACACACACACACACACACACACACACACACACACACACACACACACACACACACACACACACACACACACACACACACACACACACACACACACGCACACACACACACACACACACACTCACACACACAGAGTTTCCTTAGAGAGAGAATAATTTTCTACATCAGTCAGAAACTGGTTCCTGAGAGGAACCAGAAACCCATTTTCTGCGTTGATGGGATCTCTGGTAGAAGCACAACAATTTCAGGGCAGCGGAGCGGGAAGGAGCACTCCAAAACCCTGTCCGTCTTCACCTGAGACTGTGAAACATCACTTTGACTTGACGCTGCACCGAGACTCGTGTGTTCAGCATCACAATCAGATGTTCTGTCTTTAGGGATTGCTGGCTCTTTGTGCTGAAACCAACTCAACAGTTATTGGGAGGGCATCCAGCATCGTAATCAGCCCAAATAAACAGGGAGAAAGCTGAGCTAATACCAGTGGAGCTGCCATTGTTTATGCTGACAACTGCTGTGGCACTAATAGTTCAGCATTTTCATCCAGATGGAAAATGTTTAACAGTAATATCACTATGTTACTGTTTGCTACTTCAGTGTTTTTCAATATTTTTGTCAAGTTCCCATGGTATATTTAAGTATATTTACAATCATTTCATACATTAAAGAGATACAATGCAACTTTTTCACATTTTTAAAGAATTTTCTTGAGCCAGTAATTGCAAAAATGACCATTTACAAGGTTACTAAGACCCCCCACCACCCTTTGAAGCCAGAATATCACATTTGCAACTTCAGAGTGCTGGTCTGGTCCCTGTTGGACTTAATAAAGTGGAGCTGACATGCGTGGCGCTGCAGTCTGCTTCCAGCATGTTTCCTACTTGTTTAGATCATGAACACAGCTAATTTGTTTAATTTAGTGATGAACCGCTCCTGTAGACACTAATGATGGCTGATGAGACATTTTAGCAGTTAGATGAACAAACACACAGCAAGGAGATAAATATCACTTTTGCTCTCACTATCGGTCACTAGGGGATGCTAAAAGAAAGCCAAACTGCTCAGTATACCATTTAAAGCTTTTTTAACTTCACATTAAGTTCAAGGTGCAAAGTTTTTCTGAAACCTTTTTTTGCCATTGTGTTTGAAATGCTCTTTACATGTTGATGGCAACCAATAAATGTATTGTTTTGTCAAAAAAAACATAATTTTAATAGACTCTTAAACACACAATTGTGGAAAAACTTCATCCAGTCATTGTGCACAGCCCGTTCTCATTAAACCACCCTATGACCCCCCTCCCCCTCTTGTTACACGTGCACAGATCGTATGGTCTTGGCTTGGAGCATCGGAACAGGAAGCAAAGCCAGAGCCCAATCTGATGAGTTCTGGTTTATTTGTCAGTTCAGGATTTTTTTCTTGGACCAAAGTGGCATCTTTGCTACTCTTCTGGTCACCAGATCACTCTCCAAAATCTTCTCTGCTCTGGTCCTGCAGCTGGGACAACATTAAGAGACGATCCTGCTGCTTTCTGGATTTTTTTGGCGTACCCGGAGCCTTATTCACAAATGCAGGAGAAATTTTTGGGGGGATTTAATACATTGTTATGTCAAATAATGACTGGAATTGACTGCAATTCAGCTGGTCTCTTTATATAACATCCAGTTTATTCAAGCTGATATAATCAAAAACTGAGGTTGCATTACTTGTGACAGTTCATATGCTTGCCCACGACTGTGCTGCCAAAATTGCATCATTTAGTTGCCACTATAGGTATAAAATCATCTTAGAGAGATCATTTTTATTTTTTAAATAATGCCTCAAAAGCTCTTTTCTGTGCATCCAGGTGATCTTGCGTAACCTGACCACAGAGGAGGTGTCTGTGTTCACCTATGAGGAGTGGTTGTCCAGGACGCGAGGACCCAAAAGGACCATGATCTGTGAGATGCCCGCTGTGGTGGATGAGGAAGTGATGGTGGAGCTTACCACCTACACCATCCAGGTCAAGACCAGTGATGTTTCAGGTACAATCGCTGCACACGGGCTGAATCATTGAAACTTGAGAATCTGGATGTCTTATTATTTTAATTTAAAATGATCATACTATTATTTATTATCATGTTTCATGGTAAAGCCAAACGGTAAAATAGCCGGTATTTGATATAGTGCCTTCCAGGGTTCTACAACCCCCCAAGGCGCTTTACAACAAAACCAGTCATTTATCCACATTCACATGCTAGTGGTAATGAGCTAGAATGTAGCCACAGCTGCCCTGGGGCACACTGACAGAGGCAAAGCTGGCGAGCACAGGCGCTACCAGTCTCTCCGACCACCACGCAAGAATTCTCCTTCTTCAGTGTCTTGCCCAAGGACATGTAGTGATAAATGTATATCTATATTTCAAATGTGGCATAGATTTAGCCTGTTTATGATCTTATATTAATTAATTGGGGCACCACCCAGCCTTTGTTAGTGTGACTGGTAACTATTAGTAATAATTTCTGAAAGGAGAACCAAGGGTGTGTGTGTGTGTGTGTGTGTGTGTGTGTGTGTGTGTGTGTGTGTGTGTGTGTGTGTGTGTGTGTGTGTGTGTGTGTGTGTGTGTGCGTGCTTGTATGTGTGGTCGGGGTCTCGTTATGGCAGAAGATGAAAGGGGATCTTGCAGGCTAACGTGACTCTGGGATCGAAATAAAAACATGCCATAAAGAAATGGACTAATCTGAATTCATTAATCGGGTTTAGCTCAAAAGTCAGTCAGATGAGATGTTTCACAGACCTTTTTCCGTCGCCAAAGAGGTGTCCTGTGGGCTGGTTCTGCCGGTCCAGAAGCTTGAATGTGGCCTTCAGGGGCCGTAGGACTTTTTGGCACCTCAGCTTAGGTCAACGATTTCTGTGGTGTATAGAGGGTGGTGTTCTCCCGGAGTGGCTTGACTCAAGGTTCCTTCACTTCAGCGGCCTCGAAACGTGGAATTCAGATCACGGGCCCAAATTATTCCTAACGGAGCCGAATCATCAAACTGTTCCAAATTGCTCTTACACTTAATGTAAAAAACTCGACCACCACGGTTTCATGTAGACAATCAAAACAAAACAAACAGAGTTGCTTGTAAGTTTTAACGTAATTTTTGAGAGCGAATTACTGTAAAGCGCCGGGTTCTGCTGGGCCAGATGGAAAACAGCCCGCAGGGATGTGTTTAAGGCGTCCTTTATTCTTTTCTCTTCTTCTCACACGAGGTTTGCTCTGTGGCTTTTATAACCTTCTGGGTCACATCCACATGTGTTTTACTCCTTAACCACTTGATGGCACTTTGGCTCTTTCACATAACCCAGTCTTATAACCATGGGAAATTCATGCTCACAGTTTAACACAGTTATTCATATAAATCCTCAAAAAGTATTACTTTAGCATCAAAGTATTACTTTAAATGGGAAAGAATTAACTTCAGGTCTTAAGCTTGATGTATCACTTTTAGTATGGTTTTGAACTGGTGAATCACAATGTCAGTAGTTTAACATGAAAGAAAACACAAAACAAACAGTTAAGGTCTGTGGCTGATAAGATTTTAACTTAGAGCACCTTGATTTCTATTTTAAGGGTAAACAACCTAAACACCTTCTTTGATTCTAGATAAACAGAAAAATACCAGGGTTTTGATAAAAGCGAGATCCTGGAATTGACCCTTGAGAAGGTTTTACGAGCATTCAAACCTTGGGGGAGAGCCAGGTCTTGGCAGGTTGACACGGACCAGACCAAGTCCTGATAATGTCCGTCTTTTCGATTGCTTAAGGAGGGAAACAAACAAGTCACATGGTAAAATTTACGTTCCTGGGAAAAGATGTAGGAGTTAGCCAGATGTTTGAAAATGGTCTGTTGGAATTTATATGATTATAGGTCAGTTTCCAATTCCCCCTTTTTTTCTGCTAAGTGTGAAAGAAACCTTTGTGTGAAAACGTAATTGTTCTTTTCCGTGTAAATCCAAACAAAGTTAACCTGAGGATATAAAATGTGGATTTCCGCCACAGACACAACAAATGTGATAGATTGGGCTCAAACTTGCAACCCTCCAGTTACATGGCAGGTATTGAACTCCTCTGCCACAGCCGCCCTTTAGCAGAATAAAATACCTGAATCTGTGAATTTTCTTCAATTACTTTCAAGAAGAGAAATATCTAGCCTCACTTTGGGGAGCATCATATTTTTTTAAGTTTAATCCTAGCCTATAAGCAAAAATAACTGACAGGTTCAAGGGCGGTCAGGAAAAAAGGCCATCTCAGGTCTACCTATCGGGGAGGGCGCCAGCCTTTCATCCTTGGGTCAACAGCAGGCCAGTTCTTGAGACGTTCTAACCGAACAGTGAAGCTCGGACATCTTCATTCATCTCTAAAATCCCTCCGTTTTACCTGGAAGACCCAGACGAACCCTGCAGTTTACCCATTACATCTGTCAAGCTCGTCTTTTACTTTTCACACTACCTTCAGAGGGAAGCGTCTGTCGTTTCTTCTGATCAGCAAACATCTCACAACCTGATGGCTAGCTTTGGAGCTATTTAACTTTGACACATGACATGATTGACTAAATGTCCATCACTGAGGTTTATGTTTTCCAGCAGTATGGATCGTGGAATATTTCACGTCTGTTACAAAAAAACATCCTCTTCAGAAGTCTTCCACACAATCGCGCCATCTTTTCTTCCTGCAGTGTTTCCTCAAATGTGTTGCTGATCAGTGTAATTGCATGGCAAGGAGTCTGAGCCGACTTTAAAGCACAGCACTCTGCCTCTGGCGGTTACTAGAAGCTAAGATGTTGCGCTGCACCAAATGTTGAGGCTCTGGTAAAAATAATGAGACAGGCTGATAGACACTCGTATACAGGCTCTTGCATGCAAATTACTTTTCAGCCGTGGTTCTGCATGCGGAAACAGTGTTCTTCACCATCTAGTGTCATCAGTCCAATAGAGAATAATACAGGTGAAACTCATGTTGCTAAAGTCTATTTATTTCAGTAATTTAACCATTTAAAGGCTCGGAAACCCTTTGCAGGTGTTTTGGAGTCATTCGCTGTTTAGAGTACGACACTTTCAGTTTATAATATTGAACCTTTTCACATTATTCTAATTGTCTGAGATTCAGAATTTGAGGTTGTCATAAACTGTATGGCACAATTCTCACAATTATAACAAATAAAAGCAGAAATATCTGACTTTGCATGTGACGAGTATATCTCATATATGAGTTTCACCTTTTAAGTTGAATTACTGACATAAATGAACTTTTGCACCATATTCGAATTTTTGGAGCGCCATCTGTATAAATACAATTTTTAGAAAAGCTATTTTAGGACTATCTCAACATTTTCAACACATTATACTTTATACCTTGACTGAGATTCATCCTCGTCACCATTTAATGACTGGGTGTGTTGGGTCACCTTCTCAAGAAGCAGACCCTCACCCTAACCCGGAGAGCAGGCAATCAAAGAAACGGTCAGCTGAGCACAGAAAATGCCCAGATCACCCAGATGTGAACACATTCACTTATCTCATACAAACAACTTAACTATTAAAACTCAACAAATCTATTGTGATTAAATCAACGAGCTACAGCTGGAGCTATTAGCAGCTAGCTGTACAGATATTAAAATATTTTTAAAGCTTTTTTATGATAAAGAGGCATAAATTGTCTATTCTAAATGACTTAAAAGAAGTTTAGTATCATCCATTCAGTTTGTACCCACCAGGCTGCACTGAAAATGATAAATCACAGAGAATTCAGCTCTCCCTGATCTTGTAAATTCACACACAGTATTTTGTGGTGACGGGGCTACGGCGACAGAGGAGTTGCTAGTTGGAACCCCGTCTGTTGCAGTTGTTGTGTCTTTGGGCAAGACACTTAACCTGCCCTGCCTGCTGGTGGTTGGACTTTGGGCACCAGTGCTCGGCAGCCTCACATCTGTCAGTGCGCCCTAGGGCAGATGTGGCTTGTAGCTCATCACCACATGTGAGAATGTGTGTACGCACGAGTGAATGTTTGTTTTGTAAAGTGGCTTGGGGGGTTGCAGAACCCTAGATGGTGCAATATGAAATAGGTCATTTACCAGGGATGTGTATTGGTGAAATATTGGCGATACAGGGGAGACGATACGATATATATTGTGATATATTCAGTCAGATGTTAATAGCATTAATAGACTGAATTTATTGTAGGAATATTCAATAACAGTCCAAACTGATGCCTAACATGTTTAACATGAGGTATCTGAACCATAACATAGGGATTTACTTTTCAATGGTGGAAACAAAAACCAATGCACACTGCTGCCATCTAGCGGTCTGCTTTTGAATTGCACCACAAAAAAAAAAAAGAAAATACACATAAAAATATTAAATATAAATACACATTTGCATGTAAATTCTTCCAAAAATTAGATACACAGCTTTTGAATATTGATAGAATATTGCTGGAAAAATATCACAATATATTGCTATTTCGATATTTTCTTACATCCCAACCATTTACCATCTTGATTGTGAAAAAATCTTTGGAAGCAAGTGATAAGATGTTTGTATGCATTTAAACACATCATCACCACTGCACTGCAAAACCTTTAAATCTCCTTATCTAACTCATAGCATGGGGTTTTGAATAGTTGAGTTGAAACTGGTTTTAGAATATTTTGTTTCCTACATTCTTTTGTCTTTTCAGGGGGAGGCACTGATGCCCATGTGTGGCTCATCATTTTCGGAGAGAACGGAGACACGGGAACCCTAACACTAAAGGAAAGCAACAAGTCCAACAAGTTTGAACGCAAGCAGGTGGACACATTCCACTTCGCTGACGTCCTCAGTCTGGGAGACCTCTCCAAAGTGCGAGTCTGGCACGACAATACAGGTTAGCTACTGGCTAGTTTAAAAAATCTGTTTTATTACAAATAAATCCAAACAAGAGAATTTTAATCCGAATAGTATAATCTTTCATTTGGTGAACCATTGACAAGACTGACATCATCAACTACTTATTAGAAAACTTTAAATACTTGAAGTATTCTTTAATGCTGAATCAGTCAACCTCTTGATGTGATTTTAGCGTAAACCGAACCTTCCCAAAAAAGAAGAAAAACAAAATAACACAGAAAAAGTACCAAAGAACATAAAACTGTTTAAAACATCTTATTATTAACATCTTATTTTACCGAAAGAAAATCCTTGACAATCCACAAAATGAGACACACAAGGACTCAGAAGCTCTCCATTTTGGTCAAATTTAAGGTCAGCTGAGTGCTAGAAACCTTTGCATTATCCTTAGGTTTGTCATGTTTCTCCCATTGAAGTTTAAATGCCATCTGGGCAGCTGCGGGCATCGAGTTTTGCCAAAAGTAGGCTTGTAATGCAACTTTTACAGATTTCAGAAATGGACTTGTTGTAAATCTGTAAAAGATCTGGGTTCCTAATTGTCAAAAGAAAACAAATCTCTTTAAAATGTGATTTTTCATTTAAAACAGATTGATGTCGATACTTTCTGTTTTTGCATTTATCGGTAAAATAAGTTCTGTGTGATATTTGATCTATTTTATTTGATTTGAAAATAGAAAAAGTTACAATAAACAGCATAAGACTATTAAAATTACAGTGCAGGAGGAAGCAAAAGCTAGTGAAATTTATCTGAAGCCTCCATCAAAAACTTACCATGACATCATTGATTACAAAGGTTTAAGACAATAATAAAAGAGTCTGAAATTTTCCTAAATAAAAACCCTTCTTTGATCAAATTAAATTTTAAATTCCATCTTTCAGTTCTTTTTAAAACACAGAAAAGGTTTATTTACCTGCAACGTTTCGTTTGCAGCTGCAAACATCGTCAGGCTGACGCCAATGGTGGCGTCACTTCCTTCATTTATCCGCGGGCAGCAGAGGACATTGTCGTCCTCAGCTGCCCGCTCTCCCCTCTCGATGATGCAGTCCCATGCCGTAACAGATCACTGCACGAGAGAAAACCATATAATGGACTGGGACAACACAAGGATCATAAACACCGAACAACAGAAATACAAAAGATGGATAAAGGAAGCTATAGAGATGAGGAGACGTGGATGTGGGACCATGAACAGAGACGATGGAGTTTATTCGTTGGACTGCATCATCAGAGAGGGGAGAGCGGGCAGCAGAGGGCGACAACAAAGGAAGTGACGCCACCATCGGCGTCAGCCTGATGATGTTTGCAGCTGCAAACGAAACGTTGCAGGTTGTTATCTTGTAAGAACTGAAAGATGGAATTTGAAACTCAACACAGCAAGAACACACCAAAGATGTTAAATTTTAAATGTTAAATAGAACACTGGCTTACCAAATAGGAAACACGATTCTACGCTATACCACCCTTAAAGCGGATAGAGAATTGACCTCCTAGATGAGAGAGATGTTTAGGGGGATAGAGATCCGTTTACTGTTCTGTAATATGTGAGTGAATGGATGACTTTACATAAAAATACACATTAAACTGTTTGGGTATCTGTCCATCAGTTAAGATTTTATGTATGAAGACACAAATTTGAGAAATGTTCACTTGATGGTCAACATTTTTAGTCTCTGGAAGAGAGGGGCAGAAGTTGCTCCTGCTTCTGATCCAGTAGCCCTTCTAACAAAGCTTTTCTGGAGAAGGAAATCTTGTTGAGAGCAGTGGAAAAAGTGCTACCCCAAATCATGTTGCAATAAGAGAGATACGGAAACAAAAGGCTAGAATATAACATGATATAGCTAACCTTCCTCATTATGCTGATGGACTTCTAGATCTTTCTTCTTATAAAGTCAACATGCATTTTTCCAACTCAGGTTCTCATCAATTTGAATTCCATCAGATTTTGTAGTTGATCGTTTGGATCAGTAGATTTGAATTTGGGTTACATTTTTATTGTAAAACATTTTCCCACAAATATAATTCTATGTAAATTAAAAAATAATTTGTTAATTTTGAACCATATATCATTTATCGCTATACCTGTCATGGTCTGTGTCTGCGTCTCCCCTCATGTGTCTCCTGTTGTCCTCCATTCGTCTCTAGGTGCTCCTTTTGTGTCTTCTAGCACTCTCATGTGTCATGTCTGCGTCTTCCTCATGTGTCTCCTGGTGTTCCCCATTTGACCTCTAGGTTTACCCCCTCAGACTTCCCTCTCCCAGGTCCTGTGCTCTCTTGGCTCCCTCTTAGCCATGCCCCTGTAGTTTCTTTCTGCAGTGTTTTCCTTTAGTGTCAGCTTCCCCTTAGAATATTAGTTATGGTTCATGCCTCCTGGTCTTTTGTTTTTCTCTTAGGTCATTTTCCTTTTTTACAGCCTTTCATTATTTAGTGAGTTTTTTCCCTCCAGTGTTTTCTTCCTCCTCCCTGAGTTAGTAATTGTGTTCACCTGGTCCCTCTCCCCACACACCTGCAATTCATCTCCCTCTCATCTTCCCAGTCTATATAAGCCCTGTCTTGTCTCTGTGTTGTGGTCGGTCCATTGTATTGTTGTCAGCGTTGTTTCGTGCTCTATGTGAGCTTTACGTCTCCAGACTTTGGTGCTCTAAGAGAGCTTTCGGTGTCCTGTGTTCCAGGACTTTTGATTCTTGACTTTGGTGCTCTAAGTGAACTTTAGGTGTCCTGTGTTTCCAGGACTTTGGATTTTTGGCTCGCTGCCTTGTGGATTTATTTTGTTTCATCCTGCCAATTAAAGGATTTTTACTTTTTACCAACTCCTGCCTCTTGTCGTCTGGGTGATTTGCATTTTGGGTCCTAACCTTCCCCACAACGTGACAAGACCAGCATTGGCATTCTCAATCAAGCTATTAAAGTTGGACAGTTGCTGCGACAGAACTAATGTTGTCATCTGCAAAAATAATTGGTGATAGCTGAGTTGATGCATTAAATATTTCATTGATATAAATAAGGAACAACATTGGACCAGTGGATCAGTAGAACTTACTGAAAATCAAGATCCTATTTTTTTACATAGGAATTGAAAACCTTCATCATCTCTTTTTTTGTTTCTTGATCCAGGTCTTGCTCCAGGTTGGCACTTGGAGCACATCGATGTGAAAGACGAAATCTTGGACAAAACTTTTCGTTTCCCATGTGACCGCTGGCTCTCCAAGAGCGATGATGATGGGCAGATAATGAGGGAGCTGGCCTGTGTGAACAACGACTATTTAGATCTCAACGAGAAAACCAGTGGGGCCACTTTAAAATATCTTTGCTTGATACCAATTATTCTTAATTTGTTTGTAGTAAAGAAGCTTTAAACTTGAAGAAAATCAAGATAAATCACTAACGGTTTTCTGTATTTTCTCTTCAAAAGAATATGAAATTTGTGTCACAACTGCCGACACGAATGAAGCTGAAACCAAAGAGAATGCATGGATCATACTTGAGGGGAAGAAGGCTCGATCAAAGGAATTTGTAATGGAGAACTCTTCGAAGAAGAGGAGGTTTTTGCAGTAAGTGCTTTGTGTAACTTCAGCTCAATTGCCTACCGAGTGGAATACATTTTTACCAATATCACTGCCATTGTCGATTAATTGTCAATCCAATCCCTTATCAATTCCCGAGTAGTTCAATAGGTGGCAAAAAATGTATTAAACACCTGGTACTGGTTGGAAAGATCGTTCCAAATGTTCTCTTTTACACTCCTTGTGAAGGCAGAGTCATTTTCTTGTTTGGTGTAGTGTTGCTGTAGCTTTTTGCAAAATGGACAAAATCTCTTTACAGGTGGGACTTTAGTCGCTGGATTCTGCTAGTGTGGAGGTGTGTATATAAGGCAAATGATGCTAACACGATAGGCAGTGCTAGTAGATTCGTTACAGGCAGTTTTATCAGGAGAGGATGTGCAAACGTCACCGCTGCCGCTGCATTGAACTTGACTAGTCCAGAGCGGGTCAAAAGCACATCCTTCTCTTTAAGGTATTGTGTATTTTGTGCGCAAATGCTTTTGCATATCCGGAGTGTTTCATTTCTTTGATGAAATATCTACTTTGTAAATTTCCCCAGTTGTTATCCTTTCTCGTAAAGTAACTTTCAAACATTTGTGGGGGGCGGGCGGGGCTGATGATAGTCTCCTAAATATGGCCCGACTTCCTCTTCTGGGTTTGCCTTGTTCCGTCAATGGTTGCGTCCACTCCAAAGCGTCATCAGCCAGGGGAGTGCCGCTGTCCCGCTCCTCTTCTCTCCTCGGCTCTGCCTCTGCCGTTGCAAGGGAAACACAAGGAAATACCTCAGGGGTAGCATTCACTTCTCCCCAGAATCCACAGGCATGCAGGTTACAGCAACAATAATTCACGTTCCTTTACTTAGCTGTTTGGCGGGCCTTGAATTATTTTGGTTACATGGCTGGATCCTCCCGTGCCGTCCTCTGGTCTCTCCCAGGAGACAGAAACCAGGAGACAGAAAGCGCCTGTGCCGTAATCCAAGCTGGTTTCAGGAGCGCAGATCTCGCTGTTGCTCTGTTGCCGCTTCCCCGTTCCACTGCACACCCCTCCTTCACCTGCCAGTGTCCTTATAAAAGGTCCAAACCCCTCAATGGTCGAATCCCGAGCCGTATAGGTCTGTGATTATGAGCTGCGCAGCTGCTCTCAATCGGAAGTTCATTGTACCATGCTCAAAAAAACTAAAACCAATCCATGCAAGCAAACAAGCAAACGTCTCAAAAAACATGCAATTGGTAACCACAGCAAAAACTGACTTCTGCACAATAAAGGAGCACTGCATTGACAATTATTCCTAGGAATTCAAATAAGAACCGGTTGTTGATTCCCACCCCTATCCCCCAATCCTTCTTCGCATAAAAAGTGCCCTCTTTCCTCTAATTTCTCCTTTACATTTATTCTAATCCTACCAGCTACAAACTCTTAATCCACGACTCTACTGCAGAGCAAATGTCTGTGACATGATCATAGACTACACTAACTAGCTTGAGTCTCAGTCATGCTTGTTAATGTCCTCTCTGAGGAGCTGAGTCTCATTCTGTCCCGCTCTGAACTTGAGAAAGTTATCCACACCTTCATCTCCTCACGCTTAAACTGCTGCAACTCTCCTTTCACGTGTCTGAGCAGAATCTCCCTGAACCGTCTACAGGTGGTTCAGAATGCCTGTGCTCAGCTTCTGACCAAGTCCTCCAAACATACCCACATCACCCCTCTTCTCCTCCACTGGCTGCCAGTCAACTTCAGGGTTCATTTCAAGAGCCTGGTTCTGGTTCTTAGGGCCTTACATGGACAAACACCACCATACATTGGAGATCTTCTCAGTCCTTACACCCTGAGGTCCAGTGACCAAAGCCTACTGGTTGTGCAGCGCACCAGGCTAAAGGTCAAAGGTGACAGATCATTTGCTGCTGTGGCCCCCAGACTCTGGAACTCTCTCCCCCGAGCCTGAGATCAGTGGACTCCTTTAAAAAGCAGATGAAAACTCACTTGTTCAGGCTTTAGTGTGACCTTCAACCTCTCCTTATTCCGCACTTTCTACCAACTCCGCCTTTCCCAGGATCCACTGATTTCCCTCTTTTCTATTCATCTTCTCTCTCCCTTTCCTTACATTTTAATCACTATTTTTTTCTCAATAAAACAAAAAATTTAATCAGTTTTTTAAATCTTCATTTTTTTTACCTTAATTATTGTTTTTTGTGAAGCACCTCATGGTTTCTATCATGAGAGGCGCTATATAAAAGATTATTTTCTTTCTTTCTTTCTTTCTCTCATTTCAGGGGAAATGTTGATAGATTTGAGATTTCTTCAAAGAACCTTGGTGATATCGCTGCCATTTGCCTGGGCCACACACCCAAGGATGGAAAGAAAGTTAAAGGAGAAGTTTACTGGCATGTTGAGGAGGTTGTTGTGACTGAAAAAGAGCTCGGAAACAAGTAAGATACCTGCCAGGTCATTCGCTTTTTAAATAATACTTCAATAATTGTTGCTATCTCCAGCTGAACTGCCCAATTATATTCTAATGTATCATTTTTTAAGATACATCTTCAACTGCAATGCCCTCCTCCCACTCTCTCCAAAGAGGGATGACTTCCTCACTTTTGAGTGCACAAAGTCTGTTGAGAGTTTCGCCAGCAAAGCTCGCAGCTTGGTTCCCGTCAAGTACGAGATAATCGTCATCACAGGTGACGAGAAGGGAGCAGGAACAGACGCCAACGTTTTCATCACCATCTACGGCTCCAATGGTGATTCGGGCCGTCGGCAGCTGCGGCAGAGGTTCCGAAACCTATTTGAAAGGGAGCAGACGGACCGTTTCCTGATGGAAATGTTGGACATGGGAGAGCTGCAGAGAGTTCAAGTGGAGCACGACAACTCTGGCCTCAGCCCTGGGTGGCTGCTTGACCGAGTGGAAATCACCAACACGGCCAGTGGTGTTACCACAATCTTTCTCTGTGGGAAGTGGCTGGACACAAAAAGAGCTGATGGACAGATCATCAGGGTCCTCTACCCAAAATACTAACAGGTCTGTTTCAAATAATGACAAAAGGTTCTCCTTCCTGCACTTTTTATACCTCAGGTACAATGACATTCATAGTTTTTGTGTTATCATTTATGGTCCAAGGGCAAAGCCTTTAATCAAGAAAAGAAAAGTGCCATGTTTTTAATACAGTTGGACTGCAAATTTATTTTTTTTAATAAATATTTTTTATATAAAACTGATATTTCATCTGTCATTTCTGTTTTCGTTCACTCGTACACCAAGCAGATGTTTAAAATTTGAACCTGGGCTTTTCACTGGGTGTCTAAGCGGCACGCCTCAGAGACAATTTCACTGCCACCTCAGCCCAGATAAGCAGTGGCTATGAATGCGTTTCACGCAGTTGTTCCGGTGAGATCATGAAATCACATAATGCAAGATGACGCATGACTCTCTTAGCCCTTTACCCAGGCTCCGGACAGCGAACTCTGCTGATGTGTCCTTGAGCAAGACACTTAACTTACCTTGCCTGCTGGTGGTGGTCGGAGGGTGCCTGTGCTCGGCAGCCTCGACCTCCATCAGTGCGCCCAGGGCAGCTGTGGCTACATTGTAGCTCATCCCCACCAGTGTGTGAATATGTGTGTGTGAATGGACGAATGACACACTGTAGAGTGAAGCGCTTTAGAGTCCTCTGACTCTGAAAGGCGCTATATAAGTGCGGGTCATTTATCATTAGTCATCATCATCACTGTATCAGGCGCAGAGTGGACCATCCTAGAAGCATAATGTTGCAGTGCTCAAAAAATTGTACCCTTCAGGTGTATTTTTTTTTTGTGCTTTGCTACCAGAACACGTCAAGCTCATCAGTTCAAAGCATGCCAGACAGGAAATCAAATATGGGAGCAGTGGATAGGGAGCCTAAGTAACTTCCGCATCATGGGTCCCCGGAAGAACGGAAAAATGAATGCAAGTCAATGGGGTTAAAAACGCTATTTTCTAATCCGCTTTGCCTTACACCCTAGATCGCACACATGTTGTACTGCAATTTAAATGGAAAGTAATGATGGGTGTCTCTCATGCCAGTCTCGTACTTTGAGATTTATTAGCTTGTAAAAGTTCGTAATTAGCATGGCTACAAACAAGAAATCGGCACGTCGCATATGTGACGTCACCACATAATCTCCTATCCCCAAAGCAGCTGCTACCTACCAAATGAGCAGATTTATGATGGTTCTTTCCTCCTGTGGGAAGTTTGCTGAACTTACAGCCCTTCTCCCTCAGTTTTCTCCGTGTCTGGTTCGATGACGCCTGTGAAGTGCATTTGTAGTCATGGACTTATTTTCACACAAAACCTAAAATAGCGTCCCCCCCCCCCCCCCGTTTGAAAATAAACACGTTCTTGGTATCAAAATGTGTCTTTAAAATTCACGGACATCATATGTGAAATCCATGGCACAAAACAAGCGGAATTAGAAAATAGTGTTTTTAGGCCCGTTGACTTGCATTCATTTTTTTTCGTTCTTCCGGGGACCCATGGTGCAGAAGTGACTTAGGCTCCCTATAGCCTCCAGCAACTTTCAAAATAAAACACATGCAGATTTATTATTGCTTAACTAGAAAGGAAAGTATGTCATTATCTTTGATACCTCATCTCAACCACAAAAATTTAAGACACGCTGCCATATTTCTCCTTGTTTGTTTGTTTGTACATGAGGAGCATACATTTGAGGGTAGTTTTACACCATATCAACATGACTTACGGTAAACGTTACCTGTGGAGCAGAAAGCAAGCAACCTCAGCGTGACTCCTCAGACTTTGATGGTCCTTCAATTTATTCCATCGAGAGAATGAAATGCTGATTGTAGTTTTTCTGGCACTGTAATTGTTGGATTTGCTCGGGGTCCTGCGCCTGCCGATGATATCATCATTCTACGGCAATCCACTTGGTCAAAATACTGTATACAGGTATTGCATCTCTTTTTCAATTCTGTTCTCTGACATATGTTTTGGAAAGATTTTAATAGTTTTGTTATTAATTTTGTGTTTCTTACTCCCTAAATGTTTTTGAATGTGGTAACCTAACTTCCGTAAGTCGTACATCCAGCCATTCATCTACTGTGATGTCACTGACAGGTGCGGGACCCCAAGCAGGCGTCTAAACCTGTGCCCGATTTTTATGGTTATATGTTATGAAACTGCTAATATTTTTGAATGACTGGACATCATTTTATTCATTTTCAACAATGTATCAATGGATATGTCCAGAGATTAATGGTAAAAACTACACATTGCCTCTTTAAATGTGATTATTAATGAAAAAATCTGAAACCAACCATTAATAAAAAACAAAATGTTTTCATTGAATCCAGTTTATTACAAAAGAGCACATATAAAAGGATAATATATGAGCCATGAGATCAAATAAAAAAACATAACTGGGTTTAGCAATGCAAACTTTGAGATCATTAAATCATTATTAGTAGGAATAATAAATTAAGTACAAACTCCACTAAATGTGATTCTACAGATAAAAGGCTCATTCATTTCTTCATCAACACACTCGTCACTGTTAATGCGCTATTGCTTTATTATTAATGATAAATACGTTTATTTTCACATAAAATATGCTATATTGAAAACTAATGCGCAGTCACAGCTAAACAGCAGATTTTCATACGAGGATGGCGGCAGCCCTTTCACTGGCACTTTTTGGCAAATTTTTCTCTTCAGTTTAGTGTTTCCCATTCAAGCAGCAACAAAATTTCTACACTTTTTATTTCTTAAATATTTTTGTGCACATTTTTTCACCATACACTAGTACACTGGAACCTGAGAAAACATGCAGTTTTAGTAAAAAGTTGTGCTTTGTAATTATTGTCTTCTACTTAGACCAAGAAAAGAAACAGAAAATTAGGACGGACAGAAAAAAGGAAGAAATAAAAACAAACGTAAAAGGGAAGGAGAAAGATTAGCTTGGTATTCTTAAAGCCCACAGTGAAAAATGCCTCTTCCTTGTCCCTATAAATTCAAATCTAACTGTTTTAAACAGTCTGACTTGATCATTATTATTTTGTAATATAATGGCTTGCCACTGTCAAATCTTGTCTTGTGTTTCTTGAATGCAACCTATAAGGCATGGTGGCTTCATGGATTGATTGTTAGTGGTGTCAGTAACCCAGAAATGTCTCCTAACACCTAAAGCGAGGCACTTATTTAGGAAAAAGAACCAAAAGGAAACACCAGAAAGATGAAAAATAAAGAGATTTAAAAGAAAGAGACAAAAAGAGTCTATAAGACCAAAGCGTGCTTTAAGAAACGGAGTTAATTCAGCTAGGCTACTTACTTTTTTTTTGGGGGCCAGTGAGAGGGTTCCGATATTTAAACAAGTGAGTGCAAAATTCAAAGGAATTGGTAAAAAGAAAAACAATACACAAACTAAAGACCGGTTCACTTCATTGCAGTTTGTCCACATCACAGCATGGGGGACAGAAGTTGCATTGAATGGAATGTAACTAAGATCCACAGCACCACAGAGAGACAGAGAGCGGCTCAGTAGCTCAGTCTTGGACAGTAAACATCACACAGCCAGCTTGTGGAAATCAACTAGCAGGACTATATATGTTTATATATATATAGTTTTCCCTTTTTAAAGTTTTGGAAAAGTACAACTGCATGCAAAGCATTCCCGTTTTGAACAACCAAAAATGAGGTAATCATTTTTTTTTCTCTCATACGTTTTTGATTGACTTCTAAATAAATTATGATTCAGTCGCTTCCAAATAAAAAAGTCTATTGAAAAAAACTTAAACACGTACCACAATATCTACAATTAGTAATAAATTATGATTGTTAAATACTTAAGGCATCTCAACTGACAACACCCTGTGTAAACTATGACAACTTCATCACTGATGACTCCACTACAGGAGGAGGCAGTGTCAACACTGGCAGTGCACAAGACAGGGACAAGGATTGACTTTACTATCACAGTGCGTGGGACGGAGGCGATCCTGAAGGCATCCTGCAACACACAGATCTGTGGAACAGAAATTCAAAAAATAAGGTGGCGAGGGAATCAATGTGCCGGGCTGAATGGGCTCCTGCTGCTGCTCAGTCTCGTGTCTTTGTGCACTGAGAGAGGGAGGCTGCCTCCGTCGCGTCACGTCCTACACGTTCTAGTAACACAGCATAGCAACCATGAAGGGAGGCCGGTCACACAAATACACCAAATCAAAAGCTCCTCTCGCACCAAAACGCTGTGTGAATCTAGACCTAAATATAAACCAATGCAACTGCAATACCAAGGGAAAAAGGGTTTTGTTGCTATAACTACCATCACATGTGCTTGCTCTTCAGGCAATAAGGTAAACATCGAAAGGATCCCATCTAGAGGGGACAGGATAAAGACAAGCTACAGGTCAGCAGAGCAGCTGCTGACGTTCTTTAGTTGTTGTTTATGTTTAGAAAAGAGAGTTAGATTACCTAAATCATGCACAGGAACTGCTGTACCCTTTTAAATTTGATGTAACACTACCAAAGCTGACAGTCCGAGTCAACACTGAAACATGCATTTTGAGCGTCCTTTGTCCTGTCACTCACTCAGGTAGGACAAACAGCGCTGCTTCCTCCAGCACAGATTTCATATGTTTTTGCTTTTTTGCCACACTTAAATGTTTCAAACAAATGGTAATAGCAGACAAAGATAACCTGAGTAAACACAAAATGCACTTTTCCAGTGACTTGATGTAAAAAGTAAAGTTGATCCATATTTTCTACCAATATTGGCACTAAAATTGGAAATAATGAGGAATGGTTTTAACACTTTTAATGACACAATCTATCTTCACATACCATGCACATGTTATTCATCAAACATTTCACTACTCCTCTCACTCAAAAAGTCAAAAAAGGTCTAGTTTCTGAAATATTTGTTTGTTTGACACAACCGGTCTAATTTAAATTGTCTTAAGTGAAGTAGTTGTCATGTGTAGCACAAATAATGTATGCATGATAGGAGATATTTGGTGGTAGTAACCTAAAATCTTTTAGTTTTTCTTTTTTGTGAGGAGAACCTTACAAGTATTGCTATTGGTTTCTGTAATTAAGATTATGTCAAATATCAGTAAAAAAAGGTCTAATTAAAAGCTGCATCAGGACACGGAGGACTTGCTGCAATTGTAACCGTTGAATTCAATTCTGTTTTCCACCAGAAAACCCTGAAGAAGAATATTGGACAACTATCGGAACTTCGGAGTAATTTTATCGGAACTTTGGAACACGCTAATGTCTTCTTATTTTTAGGCCAGATGAAAGGATCATGTTCCGAGCCATTTTCAGGAACCAACGGAGCACCTGCTGCAGGTATTTGCAATAGCCCGGTAAAGTCACTCAGCAGAACTTTTAGTTAACTCACGTTAACTGCTTGTAACTCACAAGAAAAAGACTTTGGCAGACGTTGCCAAAACCACATGCATTCATAAAAATGAAAGCGCTGCCGCTGAGGCAGAAGGGAAGGCTAAGAATTAAGCAGCTTTAAAATTCCGGTTACAAAATTCCCAAAACTGAACAATGCAACAGGAAAAAGATGAACTTTACTCATATTTGTAATACATTTGCAGTGGTCTCTAGCAGGAATGAATGTCTTGTAAGTCAAAATGTGAGGAGAAAAGGAATCTGTGCCTGTTTCAGGAACTAGAAGTGAGCCAGATCAGAGTTGCGCTGAGCATGACAAGATTTGCAGTCTTATTTCCTGATATTTGGACCTCCTGCCTCTGGTTGGATAACAACAACACAGCTCTATGACTGACTGTTTACTTTGCATAGTTGATGTTTTATCTCCGCAAATACCACAAGCCTGAAGGAGTTCTGCCATGCTGGGGAGTTGCTAATGCTAACAGCTTCTACTAATCAAAACGATCTGTTTTGTTTCCTGGATGTTAAACCAACAACAGCCTTCCCTGTTGCGAGTCAAGATGGATGAGTCCATTAAAGTGACAGTGTGACGTAGATCTGTCAGGCTTTTCAAATCCCAGAGTTTTATCAGAATCTAATGCAGGAGATTGGTGTAGGAGACTATTTTCATGTTAATTCTGCATGTCAAACTCAGAGTTACTGGTTATAATCAGAGATAAAATAAAAATATATATATTTTCTGTGAAGTACCACTTTAAATTATGCCATACTTTGACAGAAAAAAACTTGCCAAAGCAGTGGTGATATGCTGGTGTCTTAGCAAAGTTCTAAAAGGGCAAATTTAGGATGGAGACACAATGGCTGAGAAGACCGAGCCATCGTGTCTCCGGCTGACTTACCCTCCCCCCTGCAACTCATATAGTGGAAACGCAGCTTGTGAGCTTCAACCGGCCGTTCATGCTGTAAAACCCTCCAGTGTGGATGAATTAAAAGAATTATGCAAAAAGGCAATGTGAGAGACCTGGAGTTTTTTTTTTTTTTTTTTTTTTTTTTGCTACCAAAGATGTAAAAACGGGTTATTAGTTTCAGGGAGCAATTATTTTGTCACGTAGGGCCAGCTTGGCTTGGATATTCTTTTCATCATCATTTGAAAACCACATTTTGTTTTTACTCAGGTTCTCTTCATCTGCACCAGAAACGTGTTTGTTGATCAAAAATGGAAGAAATCTGTAAGGGCCAAATACTTCTTCCTAACACCTCTAGCCTTGCACACCAAGCTTCTTTTTCTCCTATTTTTTGGCTTTATGTTGCAAAAGCACTCCAGTGGCTTTTAGTATGACACTAAAATAAACGTAAGCCTAGGAATTCCCTTGAACTCATACTGTAATGCTCAACATCCAAACATTTGTTACACATTCATCTTGTCACACACACACACCCTTACACACACAAACGGTGTGCAGATTCAAGCTACAACAAGACAAAGATGCATTTGGTAGTACACTTTCTGTCTATTTTCTACTATTTGAAACACAAAACCACTCAGTCACCAGGTTCCAAGGCAGTGAAAGAGGCCCGCTCACAACCCAAGGTAAAACTACAACTGTATTGCCAGAAGTCAAAGCTGCATGATAGGATCAAAACGCTTGGCTAGCTGGTGCTTGACCCCCGAGAAAGGGTCGGTGCACCAGATTTCACTTATTGGTTACTGCTACTCTACGACGACCACGGCGATCTTCAGGTAGACACGGCATCAGAGCATTAAGTATCTGTTAAGCTTGTTTTGTGGCAGAAAATTTCATTTTGACTGAATTTTCAAAGAGAGAAATATATATATTCATGTATATGGTTATATATGTATTTCTATATATGGAAAGAGACAGAAAGGAGAGAAAAGTAGCCAGCTCAGTGTGGAGTTCCATGTTTTCCACTTGTAGGACATTAAGTCATGGCTTTTGAGGACATGCTACACAGCCCGTGGTTACCTACAGTACAACACCACAACTGCAACAACACCCCACTGACAACCAGCAAGCTACAAGTAAACCCTGTGTACATGAGTGCATGTGTGTGTTTTTGTCTGCGTGTCATTTGCTTCCCGAGGGATGTGCTTCTACAGAAAGAGAGTCTTCCTCAGCTACTCGTGCAGTTCCTGGCTTGGCTCAATAAAGCATGAGTCAGAAAGGTTGTGATGTCACATGAAGTCTGGAGACATTTGGCAAAGAACCCACCAGGCGAGGGCGGGCGTTGAGGCAGGAGGGAGTAGGGATGGAAGGAAACGAAGAACAAAAAAACAGACCACACAAATGTGGGCGTTCTGCAGGGAGTCAAATCTCATCAGCTGTCGGGGTTCAGCTGCGTTTCGATGTCAACTCGACAGATTGGACACTTCCTGCTTGTGGCCAGCCATTGGTCCACACAGCCCTGATGGAAGAGGTGCATGCAGGGTAATCTCCTAAAAGCACAAAGAGAGAGATGAACACATCAGTCAGTGTGGATTCTCAGAGGCCCCCAGCAGCGTACAGTTATGTGCTTGTTAGGAGCTTCAAAAACCACGGGGGTGGGGGGTGGGGGGGGGGTGTCTAATTTTGTTCATTCAGGCGTGTCGAGACAGCTTCTGTTGAGTCATCGTTCCCACGCGCCTGTCAGACAGCTGAGACTCCACATGCTGTAATCTGACCCTCTTTTTTCACCCCAGGGCACCGTTTCGAGTCCCTGAAATTCCCTTCCAAACATGGAACACGTACAAGTGCATGTGCACATGTGTTGAAAGGATTGCACGTCTAGCACACTGCTGCTAACCACTAAAACATTATCCCTCTCCTGATAATAACTTTTTGCTTTCATTGACGTTGGATGTGCTAATACTAGTTTATCCGTTTAATTATAGATCCACTAGGATAAATACAATAAAGTTTATCTTTCACCAAATAGAATATTTACTAAGACATCACAATAGAACTATAGACACATTACTTGTCTTTGTGTGTGTGTGTGTGCGTGCGTGCATGCGTGTGCGTGTGTGTGTGTGTGCGTGCACGTGTGTGTGTGTGCGTGTGTGTGTGTCTGCTCTGTCTTCTCGATCCCCAGTGAGTCGTGGAGGATGGCTGCTTATACTGAGCCAGGATTCTCTGGAGGTTTCTTCCCGTTAAAATGGAGTTTTCCTCTCCACTGTCGCTATATGCTTGCTTAGTATTAGGACTGCTGTAAAGTCACTGACACTAGTCAGTGACTTGATGCAATTTGCTGGGTTCCTTATATAGGAAACATTATTCCTGATTGGCTTAATAAATTGACCTGTATCGGAATGTTTATTATGTGAAGTGCCTTGAGACGACTCTTGTCATGATTTGGCGCTATATAAATAAACTTGAATTGCACTGGGCTTGATGGTTGTGAAACGCACGCATTTACAATTCGTTTTTGTGGATTTGACCTGAAACTACTGATCGTCAATCAAGTTTCAGATTAAAACGTACAGCCGTGCATTTTCTGTGACTGCTCAGATATATGGAATCAAAAAGTAAACACTTAAATGGTTTTATGTGACAGGACATACGTGAACAATTACACAGAATGTCACAACATATTTATCTAATTAGTAATATCCAGAATGCTGCAGCACTGAGTGAAAAAAAAAACACACAACCTATAATTAAATCAATTTCCTTTTAATAACACCATGATTTCCATGATTGGGAGAATTAAAAGATAAATATGGAAGAATTTAGTAAAAAGCTATATTTAAAAAAATAATAATACCTCCACAGGGCATTAAGAGGTGTGCAGAATGAAGGTACAGTTTTTCCTTTAAAAGCTGAATTTTAATAAAAAAAATCAAATATTTCTTTTGACAGACACAACAATGGGTTTATATTTACATCTACCAGCCAAAGGAGGGTCCCATTGCTGGTTTCCAAATATGGTAAGCAGTCTGCTCGGCACAGTGAAGCTGCACTGTGGAAAATGGCGGACTAGGCATGTCAAGCAGCTGGTTCTGAGCCCAGAAGATGCTCTAATATTAAATACTGTAGTAAAATTAATTTAATAATAGAAAATTTGTCACTGGACATGGTGCAACATCAAGAATTTGATTTCTTTTTCAACCCTCGTGTTGTAGATGTGTTTTTGAATCATCCTGTGTTCCACTGCATGGCCTAATTTCAGCGGTCATAAAGAGGACCTCACATTTGACTCTAAAATATTTTGGTATACAGAAAAGTTCATTGTCATATCAATGTCTTAAAATGTGGTGATTGGTCCTGCGGTTGCAAAACAAATTATCACCCCTCCACCACCATGCTTGATTACTGCAATTATTGTGCTTTTGTTCAAATGCAACTTTGCAAAACTAAAGTGCTCTGTTTTAACCTGTTAAAATAAACGACTAGTTCTGTTTCTTTGTAAATGCTCTCTTGCGTTGATGCAGTTGTTCCGAGCGTGCACAACCTGACCTTGACATAAACTCCCCGAAAAATCTTTCCACTGTTTAAATAATCTTAAAGAAGCCGATACCGATTATTCACTCCTTGGCTCGGTGTCAACACACATCGGAATGCTGCAGACCAGCCAGCCACCCAGAACTTTTCATAGAAAAGGTCTTTTTACATTTGGAAAAAGTAACTTACTTTTTCCAAATTATTAACATATTTCTGTATTTTGATGTCTTTACTTTTGTATTATCTGATGCTCATAATAGGTTCGTCTCTCCATCCTGTTTTAACCCCCTGCAAGAAGAATGATAGATTTTTTTCCTCCCAAATATCCATTTATACATGAAGCCTTTAATCTGGGTTAGGAACTGACTTTTTTAAATTTTTTTGGCCACAATCAGTAAGATCTCCAAGTATCTTCTAGTTGCCTAGCAACCATTCAGAGCAAAGATAAAGCCCACTGAAAACAAAACAAATAGTCATTTTACCACTTGTGAATACAATTAACTGAATTGAGAGCTATAATAAAGGAAAGAAGTTATTCCTTATAACAGTGATTTATCATTTTTGGGGCTATTGAATGTTTCCCACCTGACGTCTTCTCCATCCTCCAGCATGGACAAACAGATGGTACACTTCTCATCCACATCGGTTTCCTCATCCTCCCCAATCTTTATCTGTAGAGGCTTTCTCTGATGCAGATATGAAAAAAGGGTTAACAGAAGCTGAAGAATGATCCACTGAGTGAGTCTGTGCTGCTTTTATCTGCGATACCTTCTTGTATTTGTGCGGAAAGGTGAACCTCTCTATTGTTGTCTGGACAGCTCCTCTACTGACACTCCCCAGTCGGTCCTCAAGCTGCAGCAGCTCCTGTACAAAGAGGGTAAATGCAGCTGGATTCAAACTGCATCACAAGAAAAGAAAGTATATTAAATATTTTAGGACAGATTTACCTCGTAGCTTTCTCGCACAGCTGTTGCATGCCTCGAAGGGTTCAGACTTTGCAGTGCCAACAAATGCAGCTGTGGATATGGGTAGTTTCTGATTTCATGCACAACCTAGTAAAACAAGATTTTTCATATTAATTAATTTATACACACATTTTCTATTTAATTTCCTTTTTTGCACATTGTAAGAAACTTCCGTTTTTAAAATCCTGGAGGTGACATGAACATTTAAACACAAAGCCACAGATTACATCAGTTTGTCACTTTTGGGATGCTCTGTTATTTTCATTTGACTCATGTACAAAAAAAAAAAACCTGACAGAGAAAATCAGACTTATCCAGTTCTGGACCAACAGAGCGGGATCACACAGCGTACCACTTGGGCAGAAGACGTGTTCCTGGGGAAATGATGCATTCGAGGGGAGGTCAGGTAGTGCTGATAGTGCTGCGGAAGCTGCTGGAGCTGGTACTGATGAGGGAGGCCTGCGTCTACACTGAGATCCCTGCAGAGTGACAGACATGTGAATGAATCAGTATTATTCATAATAATCAGGCAAAGCGGCAGACGGGCAAATGGGTTCAGAGACATGGACTAGACAATCTACTGTCTCCGCAGGAGCCTCACCAGTCCGTCCCCTCAGCCAGGTACCGTGGCTGCTGTGTTATTGGCTGGGAAACATGGAGGGGAGTGGAGTACTCGAACCCCGAACGCAGTCTGTGGGAGTTCAGAGGGATACGCTCCGGGGTTCTTCTGCAACAGAATAAAACGTCTGGTTTTACGCTCTGTGTCCGTATATCTGTTCTCGACTGTAGTGTAGCACTACTACCTGGGGTGTGTGAGAATCCTGCGGTGCTGTGCTTCCAGGAGCTGCTGCTGGATGAGGTATTGCTGGTGTAAGGCCTGAGGTAGGAATGAAGGCCCCGACATGTCCTGAAACTGAGGGGGTGTGGGCAGGGCAGTGAGGGTTGGGTGGTGCGTGGGAGGCAGATGGGCTGCCAAGCCCGTCTGAGGGGGCTGGCTGGCGGGTCCGAGGGGGAACTCTGCCGAGATGGGAGCCTGGGGAGCACCCAGGTGAAAGTGTCGGCAGGAGGTAGCATGGCTGTGTTGATGCCTGCTGAAGTGTGCTCCTATGTGACACAAAGGCAAGTTCAGTAAAGGGTAGCTTGTGTTCTTTCAACAACAAGACAGATCTGACAGGAAATCATGAAAGACAGATGGACAGGACTGGCACTGGGTCCCCTGTAGAGCTCCATTCAAACCCACTTGACCTCTCAGCCATCAGGATGAACAAATCACATCTAACAGCTGGGGGTGTTTTATAATAATACAATAATTGAAACGCTTATCTGCAGTCCAACGCTAGATGGATTGGGTTACATCACGGTTGTTTGAAAAGACATGAAAGAGTAGATTTGTCGTTAAGAATCTTTCCCACAGTCAATCCATTCAAAGATGATGTGTCTTTATGTGTTCCCTCCCCCGCCCATCACACCAGAGAAGGTATGAGACTGAGCAGAGGCCCGTCAATATGAATAACTTCTGATATTGAGAAATCAGAGATGGAAGGAGTTACAAAACAAAATGATATTTAAATTTCCATTACAGCTCTTGAGCGTTATGGACCAGCAGGGTCTCGAGGATGGATTATTCACAGCATGATACGCTTGTAAGATGAACAAATACACAGAGCGATTTGGTTTCCAACTCAATCAGGCAGCATGAATGTGCTGAAGAGTAATGCAGACCGACGCTGGACACCTAATGTGGCCACAAGGCTAGACTTAATGTGTCTGATACAATGTAATTTATTGGAGATGTTTAATAGAGCTAAAAACCTGGATGATGTGTGCGTCTGTGTGTGTTTAGATATCTAATTCATGTATATAAAGCAGAATGTATAAACAGTCATAAGTGTTACACAGAAATAAAATGCAAATTTTAAATAAACACATTAATTAAATAATGGATAAATTTTGCCACGTTTATCATTTTAAAAACAAAACTTTGACACATTTAGCTCCTCATCAAAGCACAAGTTGGGTGCAACATTTTCCGTCATTTATTTCATTACATTTAATTAGCAATTTCCAAAATATTGTCCAGCTATTTAAACATTTAACCCAGATTACAATGATGAATAAATAACTAGAATCAAATCTAATCATAATAAAATAAACGTAAATGTAGTCATTTTCATTAGAATGTTTAGCTTACATGCAAATTCAGCTTGCCATAACGCTGGAGTAGTCTACCAAAATATAAGTGGGGTGAAGAGACCCATCTCAGCTTTGCTTCTTTAATCCATGTTCCTGTCTGGGTTTGCAAAACGGAGACCATCATGTAGCTGGGATTTTGTACACCCGAATTTTCTTTCCTGCCTGAGAAAAAAACCACCTTGCTTTTAGTCGAAAAATCTGGTGCGTTGTGGCCAAGACTGTAGGTGGCAGTAGTTCCCCGAATTGTTAGTGTCGCTGCCAAAGAACATTCCTTGGACGTAGAATAACCGTTCCTAATGTCGTCCTTTGCCTGTGGTCTTCAGTAAAGAGTGATAACTGAGCTTGTAAAAACAAGTGAGGGTTAACGCAGATCGCACATGTGACATCAGAACATTTTTGTCATCCCTCCAGCATGTGGACAGTAACTCCGAATATATATGTCCATATGAAAATACTGACTAAGCAGATTTTGCAAATCTCCATCTTGGTCGGACCTTTTGGGTCTTCAATTTTGAGTTTTATGGGATAGCCGGCTACGTGTCCAAAATACTGCTGCTAGGATTTTAACAAACACAAGCCAATGTAGTGTAACATCCAGCAATGGTCAATTTTAGGTACAGTTTGACCATTCAACATCTGGCCAAAAAGGAGACACTAGACTGTTCCCTTTAAATTGGCCTGCCTTCATCCCATCAGCTCAGAGTCTGCAGCTCTGAAGATAACACACAGATAACAAAATGTCAACAATAACATTCTCTCCTCAAGGTCCAGTCTTTCAGGATTCTTCATGCCTCCATATAAGGAACACTCGCAGCCCGGTCAAAGAATGATTTCCTAAATCAGATATGAACTTCTAAAACTTATAAGCTAGATAATCATTAAATAAATGTTTGTTTATTGCTACTTATAATAATTATAATATAATGAAATGTTTCATTAATCTGTGCTCAATGATTGAAGTTTGAAATGAATGTTATGTTGTGATTACAGTGATTGAGATATGTTTCAGCATGTTAATATGACAAGGTCATCACCATTTGCACTCACACAAGGACAAAGTAAGGTTAAGTTAAACTCTGACACATAAATAGTCCTTTACACCAGTCAGAGCATCCGTATCAAAGAAGGCGTGTTTCTGAGTTTCTTGGTAACATTTCTCAAACCTGTCAACCTTTGGTTGGCTACACAAATCACAACATGAGAACATCAAAACTGGATCACTCTCGGGTGATCTCTCAGTTCTAGAGAAAGCTTCAGACCGGCCATCTGAAGCAAAACCTCTTTAACCCATCAATGTTTTTGACACGTCATCAAAATCTTTTTGCACCTGCGAAGCTGATACAGAAACAATTCCTGCAGAACAAGCTGATATTGTTTAGACTCCTTCAGAGTCCCAGATGCGCGGTTCCATCCATCTGTCATGACCCAAGACATCTCTGGACTGAAGCGTCGGTGCCACGGTATTCTACAGCCCTTCGGTGCCAGAGGTCAGCCGACCTCTCTGACCTTCAGATCCACCAAGAGGTTCTCCGAAAACTGATGACGTAGACACACAGATAGCGTCTGATGTGCTTTTGATAATAATCAACGTCATAGCTTAATGCAAACCAAATTATTTTACATCCAGAACTCAGCTTTCCTAGATACGGAAGTTCTGACTAACACCGCATTCACAAATAGGTTCATACATCACCTTTGGTTCCATCCATCACAGTAAATGCTAAGTTAACTTGTCATGTTTTAATTGTTTGTAAAATAAATTCTTACTTTTATAAACCTGACTCTTTTCTGAATCAAAACGAAGTGTGTACAATTCCTTAATAAAGAAAGAATCCTAGAATCTTCTGATAAACACAGTAAAGACCAAGCAGGGTTGATATTCTATATTTAGATAGAGTATCACAGTTTATTGGTCATAAGTAGAGGTAATATATATTGAGGTCTTAAAGCACTCAATTTACCAAACCCTACAGTAGCCATTTCACCCAAGTCCTGGCACGTCTCCACTGGCTCTCCGTCACTTTTCATGTATTTTTTAAGATATTGATGTTTGTTTTTTAAATCTTTACATGACCTAGCACCTCCTATTTGTCTAACCTGCTCACCCCCTATGAACCTATGTGCATATTGAGGTCAGCTGATCTCCTGCTTCTCTGCACTCCCTGGATGTGCTACAAATCACAGGGTGAGTGTGCATTTGCCCATGCCGCCCCCATGCTCTGGAACTCACTGCCTGTTATAGTTAGGCAGGCATCCTCTATGCCTGTTTTTAAGTCTCGTTTAAAGACCCACTTTTATGACTTGGCTTTCAGACAGTGACTCATTTTATCATTTTATTGTTTTTACTGTTGGGTTTTATCTACTGTTCTTATTGTTTTTACCAGCTAGTGATGCCTTGTTTAGATCCGTATTGCTTTTGTTTGTTCTGTTCTAATTGATACTGCCTGTTCAGCGCTTTGGTCAGCTCTCACGCTGTATTTTAAATTGTGCTATAGAAATAAAGTTGGTATGATATGGTACGTGTTTGAATCAAACGGCTACTCAGGCCAGATTCTTCCAAGACACTGTAATGTAAATTTATTTCAAATAACTGTTTGGCTGTTAATTTGGGCTGTTAAAATGGGCAGCATGGTGGTGCAGTTGTTAGCACTGTTGCCTTGCAGCACGAAGGTTGCAGGTTTGAAACTCGGCGGCGGCCTTTCTGTGTGGAGTTGCATGTTCTCCCCATGCATGCGTGGGTTTCCTCCAGGTACTCCGGTTTCCCTCACAGATCACAACATGCCCTATAGGTTAAAAATTGTAAGTCGCTTTGGATAAAAGCATCTGCCAAATAAATAAACATAAACATAAATAAACATAATTTAAAAGTTGTTAATAAAGGTTTGTGAAAAAAGTTTCACAGCGACGAGCATCCCGGCATGTGTTGCGATCGATGACGCAATGCTCCCTGTCTCAATTCGGCAATTATTTGCACACTTGTGTGCTACGCACTCGAAGCCTCACAGCGCACTTTCTCCAAGTGCACTTTGGTGGAGTCCGCAGTGCGAGTATTGAGATTGGACCACATTCAGTGTTATTGTGAGATCTCATTTTGTCAGACTGAAAGCAGTAAAAATCGCTGCCACCTAGTGGTTGGAGTTTGTACTATGTCACACAAAAGAAATACAGCGAGTGTTTGCATGTAAATTCTCAATAAAAATTATATATTAAATTGAAAATATAAATTCAGCATGATAACATGAAATACTGCGATATTTAAAAGTATTCTTTTCTAGTAAATCCAGTTCATCTTTTTCTGGAGCATTGGTTCTTTAACTCTAAAAATAAAGATGAAACCAAGCCTTTTCGCTCATCTGTTCTGCTCCTTTATCAGCAACATATCCTTAGTGTCATCTGTGTAAATAGATGCAACATTTCTAGTTTTTATGTGTGCTTGGGTTGGAGGTGCTACCTGTCAGACACCACATAGTTTTAAGATGAGCAAATGTATGCATATTCTCATTGATTTGAAACGTTTTCTTTCATTATTGCTGACATATTAGCATGATTGTACTTCAGTGCATTTAGCCTTGGGCCACACAGAGAAACCACTGAACCCAGAAAGTCATGAGCAAACATTTGGCTGAGGAAGTAGAGCAGAAATGGCACACTGGTGGTCTGGATCGGTTGATGGCTGCTGGACATCAGCTTTGTATGAAACCTGTGACCTGATTGTAAATATCAGACCACTAGTCTCTGGGTCCTCCCACAGCAGACGTCAATATGAGACAAATGCCCAGCTGCTGGGATGCTCCTATTTCTGCTTTGACTTACAATAAAAAATCCCGAGTGGGGAAGAAGGGATCATAGCCACACACACAACACTCCCCTCCCCCATTGTGTGGCTGTGGCATGGTTATTAAGCCCCGCCCACTAGCGACTGCAGCAGTCTAATATAAATCTCCCATCTCTGCAGCTTTACAAATCACAACCTTTCAAAGTTAATCCTCTCCTCTCCTCTACCTGTCCATCACTCTTCCATCCATCATGTAGCACAAACACCAGCTCACCTGCTGACATCACTGATCCACCCCGACAGAAGCTGTGATGTGCAGCCCAACCAAAAACCTGCTCTGTTCCCAACCCTTGCTTGTGCATTAGTTAAATTAGGACAGAGTAGTTTCATCATTCCAACACGACCACTGCAGAGGAGCATATGCCTTACAGCTGTTGAGTTATTTAAGTCTGTTGTCGTTTGATGAAAAATGTGCTGAGCTCACACAACTGTGTCTGGAAATCTGCACAGGAGGGTTAGAGACAGCAAAAACACTACAGCATGTATAGCTAATATTTGTGAGACTGTGTAAAACTTTTCCCCCCTGGTTTTAACCAAAATGCACACTTCTCAACAGGCTGAAGAAATCTTAAGGTGTTGTTTGTTTGTTTACAACTCATAACAAGCTATTTGCATTCCTTTGTGAAAAGATTAACTGTTGCCTAAAATATGAATAGAAGCTTTTGTCGATGTACTCTCAAACAATTTTTTATCAGGTTTTAAAACGCAAACAATAAAGTCATCAACGTATTTGATGAGAGTTTCAATGGGTTTAATGGTTCCGTGTTTCAAATATCCAGAAGAAAAAAGTCATTTTATTTATTTTCATGTTACAAAACTGCTCTCAGCAAGCAGCTGCTTTGTAATAGAAGTGTTTATTTTTAAATATGCAAAGGTCTGCTCTGTTAATTACCAAGACGAGCCAGATGAGTGATCTGATTCTTGCAGAGGCACAACATATGAAGTGGAAAAGTGAGACCTGGTAGTTTCTCAGACACATACAACTGTTGTCACTTCTGCCTATTGAACCAAACAGTTACAACTAAACTGGCTAATTTCTTGTCCAGAATATGCATCGTACCTGTGGCAGTGTGAGCGTCCTGTCACTGTGTCCCGATTGATCATAAACTCTAGCTGGGGGGGGGGGGGGGGGGGGTGTCCCTATGGCTGGCTGGTTAGCGCGCATGACTCACCCGGGAGTCTGAGGATCGAATCCCACCCGGGCCCTCGCTTCTCCACCCTGCCACAGTACCCATGAAAGCTACAAGCACGACGAAGAAATCTTTAACCCGGTGTTTGAAGCGGTTTATTGACAGTGATACCTCAACCAAAGTCTACATCCAGTCATGAAATGTTAATAAAACTGTAACTGACTGGCTCTGTGATTCCCAAACAAGAGCTAAAATCTGATCTAGAAAGACAGTTTTGACCAAATATCCCAATAACCTTGAAGAAGAAATACAATAATATTACATTATTAGGTTGTTTGTTGTTGTTGTGTTTAAAACAGTTTTATGGTCTATACAAAACATGTTAGTTCTCTGCACAAAATGTCTCCTACATGAAGCAATTTTAGCAGTTTTATTCCAGACAGTTTCAGTACATTTCAGAATAAGACCATTTTAGGGCTCTGTCAGTATAAGAAAAACAAAATCAAGCCCCCGATTGGCTGCAATGAGGCAGGGGTTTAGAACAGAGCCATGGCTCCTCCAGCATTGGGTGGTTTAAGGCTAATTAACCTTACTGTGACATCAAAATGAGGAATGTTTTGAAAAAGCTTATTTATGGCACATAGCTCCAAAAATTAAACACAGAAAAATTATGCACAATTTTATTCACATTTGGAGTGTTTATAGAGCCAGCAGATACCCACACGGAAGCACAAAATTATGCAAAAAGTGAGTTTGGCATAATATGGTTTAGGGCTGGGCGATATGGCCTAAAATCAATATCACGATATATTGAGGATTTCACCTTGATAACGATAAATGGAAGATAACTATAGGTATGCGCAAAAAAAAGTTGTCCACTAGATGGAGCTGTCACATGTATTACGTTGAGTCACATTTTTACGTGACTGAAGGTGGTACAGCTTCTTAAAGGGACGTGAACATTGCCAACCTACACATCTTTTCATTTTTTTAATCATGAAATTTATTGACATAGAAAAAATTGTCTCAATAAGAGTGAGAAATTTCAATAACAACTTTTTGATTTATTGCCCAGCCCTAGTAGCCTGGCTTGCCAGACTCGTCCTCTGTTTAATTCTGCAGAGAGAGAAAGAGTCTGGTAACTCTCCGATGATGATGAAGATGAAGAAGAAGATGATGATGATGATATCATTTCTATAGCGCCTCTCAAGATAAAAATCACGAGGCGCATGCAAATAACCCCACCCCCTGAGAATTCTAACGGAGCCAATCAGCACTGAGCAGAGTACGTCTGGTTACTCAAAGGCAGAGGGGCACATGAGAGGCAGGTCTAACCAGCTCAAAAATAACTAATCAGACAAAATGCGGAAATGTCGACTGTGCCGTGCTACACTGTAGCCTTTTAGATGTAGTCAAAAATGGCGCCTGGCGATGGTGCAAACATCGTTCTTTAGAAGAAAGGCTTTTAGCGGTTCTTTTTGTTGTGGTTTTAAAGACATGTCCAAGAGGAAAGAGCCGCAGCAAACTCCACTTCAAACGCCATCTTCGTTGTTTATGAGAAACTGAGCGTTGCGGTGTGTGACATACGCTGCTCAGCGCTGATGGGCTCGGTTAGAATTCTCAGGGGTTGGGGTTATTTGCATGGGAGAGCTACTAGACTCATTCTCTTTGCAGAATTAAACGGAGGAAGAGTCTGGCAGGCTAGTATGGTCCCTTAAAGATGAAGGACGCTTGGAAAGGCTAAAACTGCTACCATTTTATCATTTAGTTCTTTTTAAAACACAGAAAGGTTTTATTTACCTGCAACGTTTCGTTTGCGGCTGCAAACTTCGTCAGCCTGTCACGTGAGCGTCCTGTCACTGTGACCCGATTGAACATGCACCCTGGCTACTTGGCCAAGGGGATGTCCCTTTGGCTGACTGGTTAGCGCGCATGACTCTCGCTCGGGGGTTTGGGGATTGAATCCTGCCCAGGCCCTCATTCCTCCACCTTGCCACAAAGACCTATATGAATTATGTCTCGCAATCATCGTCGTCGTCATCTTCCTCCGCTTATCCGGGTCGCGGGGGCAGCATCCCAACTAGGGAGCTCCAGACCGTCCTCTCCCCGGCCACCTCCACCAGTTCCTCCGGCAAGACCCCAAGGCGTTCCCGGACCAGATTGGAGGTGTAACCCCTCCAACGTATCCTGGGTCGACCCAGGGGCCTCCTGCCGGCAGGACATGCCCGAAACACCTCCCCAGGGAGGCGTCTAGGAGGCATCCTGACCAGATGCCCAAACCACCTCAACTGGCTCCTTTCGATCTGGAGGAGCAGCGGTTCTACTCAGAGTCCCTCCTGAATGTCTCGCAATCAACCAACACTTATTGGACACCCCTATATAAACTTTATCGCTCCACATACTAATCAAATAAACAGCCGAGTTTATTTCCAGATGTCCTATAAAAACACTGTTTGTGTGATTTTTTTGCACTTCGCCAAAAGTTGTCGTGCGGGATGAGTGAAAGGACTTAAAGGAGGCAATTTCGTAAAAAATAGATGTTTAAAACTAAATATTGGGTAAAATATCAAGTATTTTCCAAGTACCGTGAATAGGTTCACGTCTAAGTCGATTCCTAAGTCACTGACATAGAAATCCAAGTCAAGTCAAAGTCTTTGAACATATTTTCAAGCCTAAAATTAATGACTCAAGTCCACACCTTGGGTATAACGTAATGTGCATAAAATCAAGTGACATCATCTTTTCAGTTTACTAAATTTACTTTAAGGGGCAAATATCCAACCATGACTAGATATGATATTTTCATATTTACTTTCTCTCCCCAGTTCACCTAAATAAAAATGGTTTAAAGCTGCAAATGTTTTCTTTAGCAAAGAGAGACAATTTATCATTTTTGGAGTAGGATTAGGCTCAGTCATAATTCTGGGATTAGAGTCAAAAACTTTTTTATTTCCTCTTCTGTAATTATCTGCTATAAGTTTTTTTAGTCATTTCAAAACAATCATGTTTCTATTATCAAGATTTAAAGTTAAGTAAAATAATAAACCACAAAGAGACTATGGCTATTTTTGTTCATGAACATACTATTATACACAACTATATTTTGTAATATTTATAAAAACAACAATGTAAAAATATTGCTGCAACTTTTAGTGTCACTTATAAAATTCTACAGGTGTATTCTACAGAAAAACACTAAAAGCTGCTTAAACCTGAATTATTTACTATATCATTATCTAAAAACACCAGCTTCTTTATCATCTCTAGCCAAAGTTATTATGAGCCGTTGGTCCAATGAGCCACCTGTTGGTTGCAGACCCCTGAAAATGACATTTTCTAGGAATATCCAATCATATAAATGAAAAGACTATTTTAAGCCCATGACTTATTTATTTCTAGATTTTATAAGAATTTAAATAAGATCAAGTGTCATTACTGTCATCAACTGCATTAACAGATCTTTGTTTATGCAGTTATTAATGGAATTTTTGCTTATCAGGATTATTTTTATGAAGCATGCTGGTAATTTTTGTTCCAAATTTCATTAGCAGACACTGTTGTAACTGCAAACATCTCCCAAACACACTTTAAGATGTAAATTTCCATTAAAAAGTGACATATGTTAACACCAACGAATGGGAATGCTGTGTTTTATAAGTAAACTGTATTGTTTTCTTATTTGTTTCCAGGGGCAGAAGATTCGACTGCCTCAAAAATAAGCAGAGCGGCAACTTGAGGAGACTCTGCAAAGACAGCTGAAAAATGAGAGCACATAACAAGAGTGAGGGGACGTCTCAGTGGACATCACAGTGGACAAGGGGGGAGGGAAGGGGGAAGGAAGGACACATGGAAATCAGCAAAAAGCACACTGAAGGTTAGGAAAAGAACAGCAGTCTTTATTGGAAAATATTAGTATGTATGGCACTGTGTGATAATAGTAATAATAAGAGTAATATATATCCTACATAGCCAGAATAGTACCATGCAAATAAGACCAAAAAGTGAGGCCTGACCATGCTCTCTGTAGGGTTAACAGAACAGAAGCAGCATCCAATGAGTAGATGTGTATGCTTACAGCACATTTCATTACAGCAGGAACATCTCTACATAAAAAATTTACATTAGAATCTGCTGTTCAATGTGGAAAAACAAAATTAAAATGACCATGCATTAGGTTCTAATCCAAAAAAAGGAAAACCATAAGGTAGAAAACCACAACCAAAGAATATTTAAAACCAAAAAGACATTTAACTCTAAAAAGGAGTTCTACAGCAGTGCAGGATATACACATCCCTGTAAAATGGATAGCATTCTGGAGATGCTGGAAAAAAACTTGGATGAGGGAGGGGAGTGCGTGATTTTCCTCCCCCCTTTAAAAAATGTCAGGATGAGTTTGAAATGCCAATTTATTGTGTAAATCAATTGGTCTAACAGGAACACAGGCATTGACACATGAATTGGATTTATGACCAGCAGTCTGGACGGGAATTTGAGCAGGTGCAGTGGACGGTCATGATACCATCACCCAAACTGGGATTTCAGCTTTGAGGAATTGGGTTCAGATTACAGGACTGAAGATGAGGAGTAAAAATGTTTTTAAAAGATGGTACAATGCACCTCTTCTACAGAAGAGGATTAGGGCCACTGAAAAGAAGCAAAAGAACAGAAAAACAATTCTTACCCCCAAATTCCACTACCTCCGCTCCGCCCCCGCCTTCCGCAGCCGCTCGCTTCCGAACTCAATTTTTACTGGTACCCGCTCTACAACGGCTCCGCTCCGGTGCGGAGATCTGAGTTGCGCAAACAAGCATGCGCGGGATTTTCGAGATCTTGCGATACAGTCCGAGCAATAAAAGCGGAAGTTAGATCCAAACACCCGTTGTGTGGGGGAAGCATCGGCATGAGCTGTTTAATCTGCCCATCATTTGTGTTGAGAGATCAGCAGTGTTTGGATCAACAAAGTGTGACTACTTTGATAGTGGAAACTGTATTTATGGCTTACTTTTGTGCATTTAAACTTCAGCCGCTATTGATAGTTGTTAAAAGTTGTTAAACCTGTGCATATGAAACAAAAAACGCCTTTTGTTTATCGATTTATTGTGAAAAACGGAAATTGTGCTTGCTCCTTTTCCTGTTGGGCCGTTGTGATTTCTGTCCATTTACTGCGGAGGTGCTCCGGCGTCCGGCGAAAATAGGATCGATTCTATTTTTGCCGGACGCCGGAACAGAGGGCGGCGCACGGCGCCGCACTGCCAGAGCACGGCCGCAGTACTGGAATTGCTCTGATTGACTACAACGGGACCGATTTTGCTCTGGCGTTCGTGTCGGAGCGGAGGTAGTGGAATTTGGGGGTTACTCTTTGTAAGAATTCTGAATTTAATCTCAGAAATCTGACTTTAATCTCATAAATCATGTCAGAATTCTGAGGTAAAAAAAGTTGCATTCTGAGATTAAAGGTGCAATATGTAAGAATGCCATCCTGTGGTCAACTTTGGGTACTGCAGTCCATTTTTTAATAAACAAATAGTTCCTTTCTCATTACCGTTACGTGAGTTTCATGGCTGTTGCCAGTTACGGATCAGCACCAGAAGATTCTAGATGACAATCGAAGATGAGTCATACACAGTAAGTCGATAAGAAGATTCTGGTGTTAGCACAATTGGGTGCTTTACAGTAGGAAGCACTTACTACACTTATTACGGAAGTATGTCACCGACATTAGAAGACATTTGCATCTTGCTGTTTTAGTTCTGAACGACTCATTTAAGTATGTAAAACGCTACGATTGACTCATAATTCATTTCACATGTACATTTCACTGTAATACGAGACGTTGGTAATTGAAAAAATAGCTTGAGATATATTTAGAGCTGGTTATTTGCTTCTAATTCATCGTTAGCATTGATAGCTCAATGTTAGCATCTAGCCTGCTTCACATGACATTATAGTAAAACAAAAAGATGCCGGGTAAAAGAAACAACTCTTGACCTTTTGCCAATGTCGAATAACGAATGGTGGCGCTGCAGCATTAGCCCAGTGCAGAAGTAGCAATTTTGAGGACTCACAGACTGTAAACAGTAACTACGTCCCTCTTTAGTTTTT